AACTATCGCCATGCGGTGTGAGATATCGCAAGATTGACCTTTAAAAAATGTGGAAAAAAAAAAAAAAAAAAAAAAGCTTGCAGCGGAGTTAGCTGTTTCTGCTGCCTCGGCAAATCCGGTATCTGGGTGCGTCGTTGGCAGCCCTCTCCCTCGGTGATGCGCGTGGACAGCGCGATGCCCGTGCGTTTTCTCGGACGCGGTAGTCTGTACACGCCGATAGAGGAGAGTGTAATTGTCGGAGTTGTGTGTAGAGAGTTTGGTCAATGGAAGGCGCGGGCGTGCACCAGGCGCAGAAAGAGGGCTTCAGATGCTTTCTTGGCCAACCAGAAGCCGAAAAGAATCCCCTAGCGGTGGTAACGTGAAACAGATTTAATCATAGGCAGTGATTTCCCTACACAACCCCCTCCCCTTGTTTTTTTTTAAGCGTTACCTTAATTCTCAACGACTCTATCCTCAATGCCCCCCCCCCCCCAAAAAAAAAAATTTAGACCCCCCCCCCCTTCTTTCCCTCCTAATTTCAATTTCTGCGGAAACCCCTGATCATGGGTATATTGTTTTATTTAGCGCGTAAGAGTTAAATGTAGTAATCCTGCATGGCTGAAAATAGCGTGCACGTGATGTTTTGATCATGATCATGCAGAAAGATGTAAGTAACGATGTCGCCGCTCGAACTTTGTTTTACTCGGACAGAGAGTGGCACTCGAACGGCAGATTCCCGGCCCTCGGCGCCTGGTCCGCTAGTCGCACTCTTCCACCATGATTTTGGATGACCGCGATTGAAACATCACGTGCACCGTATTTTCAGTCGGCGAGGGTTACTCCGACGCACTTATTAAGTTTGTTTCTCGCGACCACCGCCAGGGTATTATTCCCGGCTTCTGGTTGGCCACATTCGAATTTGTGAAAACGCCCTGGAACACGCTCAGCCCGTTTTCGGCCAATGGCGCCTCATTTGTCTCCTATACTTTCCAACGAATGGCCAAACTCTCTACATATCTCTGGTGGTGCTCAGCGAGCAGAGCGTTCGGTGTCGCCTGCTGAAGCAACGGGGTAGATGGCGCAAGCCGCCGCCCAATTAGGATTTTGCCGCCGCCCGATTCAAGGGGTTCGGCCGTATTCGTCAATTGATCCGTCCACCCGTATTCCTCCGTCCGATGACTTCGGTCATCTTTCTTTCGGCTTGTGAATGTTACATCACAATCTTGTCGAACCGCGACAGTCTCGACGTCAACTGATTTCGCTCTAGTCGACTTGGTCTAGTTGTTTTGTGGTTGTGAAGGGGGGTGGGGGTGCTGTCGTCTGCTTTCTGCCGCTGCCCCCGAGGTGACACAGAATAGCAGACGACGCGAAAAGTGGGTCCCTCGTTGTCTGTTTTCATTATTCTTGTTTCGTCTTGTCGAAGGAACGGCTGGATGCATATGCGTACCTTTGCCTTGCTTTTTTTTTTTTTTTTGTTTTCTGTCTGTCTTGTTTTTGGGATGCTTTTTGGCCTTGGAACGCGTCATAGAGCACGAATCACACCGCTGCCTGCCTCTCCACCGAGTTGACCGAGGTATCAAGGTTACGTCGTCTGCTATTCTGCTCTCCCAGTCGCCATTTTGTTTTCGACCGTTTTTTTGTTGGTTTGTTTTTTCTTGCGGGTTCCAGCCTATTTGCGCCTGTCCCGTTCGGCGTGTGTGTGTGTTTTTAACGCGTATTGTGTTGTTTTTTTTTTTTTACCTGCAGCTGCTTGAACGTCTTAAATGCTAAGGCCGCTTGCTCCTGTACTGATAATTATTGTCCGATTTGCTTACTCTGTGTTCTGTCATGCGAAAAAAAAAAAAAAAAGGTTGTTTGGGACGTTTTTACGGCCGTACGTTTTCCTACGCAAATAGAGTATAATAGAACATTTTAACTGATTTAAAAAAAGGTTATAAAAATTGTTTCTTTTTTACAGATTACGAACTAATAGAAATTGGGTCTAAATAACAAGTCAGATTTGCACATATCTTCGTCCTGCGCGCGCAGTAGTTTACAAAATTTATTTTCGGTAGATTTTTTTTACTTTTTAAACGTGTACCATTACCATAAATCGGACACGCAATTTGATCAAATTACCCAATAGCTGGTCTTACGGGCGTAATTAGGTATGTAAAATCCCTGAAGATATTATACAGTTATTAAGTCATTCATACTTTTTTATTATTATTGCGGTTCTTGGAAGCGAATAAATAAGAACGCGCTTGGTTTTGCCAACAAATATGGTAAAGTAATTCTAGTTTAGAGAAATGTGATGAGTGTTTTTAATCGGGAGAGAGGAATTATTTCAACTGAGGACCGCAAAAACTAATTCCCCCCCCCCCCCCCCCCCAAAAAAAAAAAAAAGTAATGAAGAAAAAAGATGCGATTAAAATTAGAGACCTGCCAAGAAAAGACTGCTAATGTTAAAGATAATTACAATACTTATTAAGGCGAAAGCCTTGCACGTTTCATCGTTCGGTTGACCTTCGAAGTCCTTGAGCGAAAACACGTCGGCGACGCGAAAAGTACTAAAATACGTAGAACAATGAAACGGCGCCAAAAGTATGTCATCGTATTGCGAAGGTGGAAACGAGCTGGGCAAGAACGACGATAATAATTAACACTCCCTGGGGAAGGGGAACGAGGGACCAGAGGTTTGGGTTTGTCCCCCTTGTTCCCCTTCTCCAGGGCTTATTTGTCGTCATTCGTGGCTGCACGTTGTCGGCGCGGTTGGCGCGATGGAACGGTTGTCCCGGTGACTCTGGCGTTACGGTCACTATCGGCGTGTTATCCGGGCCCGTCTGAACGCAACCCATGCAATCGTGTGAATCAGCCATTGCCTTTATACTCGCGAAGCCTGGCAGTTGGACGACGGAGCCATAGAGTGCCCGGTCGCAGGTTTGGAGCGCGAGGATCTGGTAGCACAGAGCATCAAAGAGCCATTTTTCGGAGAACCTGGACGTCAGCGCACAGCTCTTGCAGCGGCGAGGACCCGAAACACACTCGTTCGCTCGGGAGAAGTGCGTTTCGGAGTCTCGCCGCTGCGGGGCGCCAGTCACGTGGCTCTCTCCTCTCATCCGTTGTCTGCCGCTCCACCTTTTTCCATTTCGGTGGCCGCTTCCCGTGGCGACCTGCCAGGCTTCGTCAGTTTATGGGAGGCTATGCCATTGCGCGTTCATCGACGATGATCGACACCGCAGTTTTCTTCCGTCGCTTCCCCGAAAAGGGGCGAGGGAAGCTCGCCTTACGCCAACATATCGCCGCAGGTTTGAAAACTTGGTGGATAAAAATCGGGGCGAACCATTTGGAGTCCAATGCTTGCCCGCTGAAGCCCGAACGCTGCCCCTTGAGCTGGCAGATGGCACGGTACGACCGGAGTCCCACTAGAGCGACAAACAAAAACAACCGACACGGACAATCCTCCAACACATGCAACATGCTCGCGATGATACCTTTGGCAGGCGTTTCGTCGTTCGGTGCTCGCGAAGTAAGCACGGAGGGATTGCGAGCCTGCCGAAGACACCCTCGCGTGCACGATGCTCGTGTTTGAGCATAGCCTCCTTTATTCTACGAATCCTGTCAAATCGCGAAAGACTCTGGTTTGAGGCTTGTCGCTGTCGTTTGTTTCTGTTTGTCGCTCTAGTGGGACTCGGGCGTAACGGTAATAAGGCTGTTTCTTTTCTTTTTGTTCGGTATGTTTTTTTCTTTAAAGTCTGCTTGATCCACTTAACTCACGCCGTGTAGATTGAGCTTCTGATTCGAAGCAAGAGTAAAGTAGGAAAAAGAAAACGTCGCCGTCTCGCCGCATCATGCGTGAACTTGTGTGATTGTCGACGGTTCGGCGGTGGTGTGGCTGCTCCGGCGTGTACGTAGTAGTACGTCGTTCCTTGAACCGGTTCTTTCGGGAAGAGTGACGCGGTCCGTCTCTTCGCGTACTCTCCTTTCTTGACGCCGCTTTGCTTTTATATCTTTTCGATGCACGTGTGTTTGTGGCGGTGGTTGGCGGGGGCGTTGGTGTCGACTATCGTTGCAAAAACCAGGGGTGACAGGAAGTTCTTTTTTGTCTGTGTGTGAATTCAGTTTTTTTTTTTTTTTTTTTTTTTTTTTTTTCACCTTCTTTCCCTTCCTCGCCCCCCACCTTCGGAACCGGTCTGCTATTGGAAGCGGGTGGGAGAGAGAGAGAGGGGGGGGGGGGGGGGAGAGAGAGAGACGTTTGTACAATTTTGAATTTATTAATTCCGAAATATTCCGATGAATGAGCCGTATCAATAAAATGAAGCGAGGAAGTGAGCGAATGGCGTCGGATTAGACGATTTCGAGAGAGCAGGTAACCAACGAAACGTGGAGGTGTCGGGATTCCGGTGGATGGCAACACAGACGTGGCACACCACGTCTGTGTTGTGTGTATGAATGTTTTGTGTGTTTGGTAATATAATGTTTTGAGATGCCAATCCAGTACTGCCCCTCGGGCGCCGTCATCTTGCTGACGGCTTGTGTAAAGAGCGTCAGATTTTTAAGCCTGGGTGGATGGATGAATGCCGATGACTGTACACTTTATAACGGGCGGTAGCTTGCGCCACCTAGCCTACAACCCAAAAGTATAATTCCTCTCCTCGCGCCCCGCCGATTCGCCAAGGCGTTTCCACCGTGGTTTGCCCGACTGGCACCCCAACCAAAGCGTTTTCCGTCCACGGTGGCCAGACTAGCTTTTGAAGCGTGGCTGCTTGCAGACGTCGTTACACACATATAGCGGCAAGATGGCGCCAACCAGAGGCCGCACTAAGCGTATACCAGAGCCTTTTATACTGGCGTATACACAGCAGCACACCAGGTCTGCGCATGCGCGGTACCGACAACAGCGCCACCGCGGCAGCGGCGTGACGTCATCAGTGAGTTGGTTTGGGGCGTATGGTGACTGAGCAAGGGCGCGTTCCGCGTAATTGTGACTTCATTACTTGAGATCAATGTGTGTATAAATGTTTGTTTCTTGTCTTTTTCAGCGTGTTCTGGGACCTGTACTGCGCAGCTCCAGAGCGGAGGGATACATGTGAGCATTCGAGCGAAGCGAAGGCCTTCCATGATTACGTAAGTTTCCACTTGGAAAAAAGCTTTTTCTTGTTACTTTTTTTTTTTAGCCCCTCTCTTTATTGGTGCTTCCGTCCATGACTGGTTTTCTTTTCACTTTCCTGGTTTGTTTATTTATTAGTTTTTTTTTTTTATTTGCGATCGTAAGCCTCGCGATCGCCGGGGCGCACGTTGGCACAAGGTTGCGAGCTGCGTTTCCGTTGTTGACGACGACGATGTCGATAATAGTAGTAATTGTTTGTTTTGAACAAAAGAAGAAGAAGGAGAAAACTAATTTTCTTGATTTTGGCGTGTAACGCGTTTTGCTCCGAGTGGCGACAATATAATAATAGTCGTTAACCACTCGTTAAACTCTCGCCGATGGAAACGACGAAACGATAGTGTTTGGGTCCCTTTTTTTTTTCCTTCATATTTGTTTGCGGCTGAAGAACTTTGGGGGAAATCAAAATGTAGACTAAAAAAAAAAACAAAAAAAAAAAAAAAACATTAAGAAACATTTGCAGTCGCCGTTGCTTGGGCTAGGTGGCGCAAGCTACCGTCCGTTATGAGGATTCAACCGTTAGCATCCATCCATTCATCCATGGGCACCAGGCGTCTGATTGGATCCGAGTCCTCTCCGAACGCCGACGCAGACCCTCGTGTCCAATATACATGCTCAGGATATGTGCCCAAACAATGGCGACCTCGGCTAGTTGACGCAGCAGCCACTAAATGGCACGTTCTTTTGGAAAAGTCTATTTTGGAAACGTAAATGCAGAGCGAACTTTCGGCCAGTCACGGAAAACGCTTCGGCGATCACATCGTTTTATTATTAATATTTTACGGCGACAGCCCTTATTTTTCGCGGCCGATGACGAGGAATCACATTAGAGAGACCATAGTAACTGAACGATACTACAATAATGCATAGTTGGAGGGTGACAGTAAAACTGTGCAATTAATTCCTCCGTATTTTGCTTTTCCGGGGGGTAATGTCCAGGCCATTCATTCCCACATTCTATTTTTTTCCTCCCTTTTTAAAATCGACATAAGAAAAAAAAAAAAAAAAAAAAGACAGTGAGGGAGGGTTGTCTCTCAGCTTACGGGTAACCCGGTCCAGGACCAACTTAAATAAAGTTGGTCCTGACCCGGTCACGTGACGGCGTGGCCACCACGTGACCGACGGGTTCAAACGCGGAAGTGCGACGCGTCGGGCAACCAGAAGGGGCAGGTCTCTTTGTCGGCTTCCGCACGGAAGTAGACACACCGCAACCTCTTTTTTTTTGTATGGTGCTGCAGTTTTTACATTTCTGCCTTTCCTACTTAACCTCCTCTCTTCTCTTCCTCTGGTTCATGTCTCTTAGTACCAATCAGCTACGCGGTTTGTCGACTAAACTAGTTGTCGCATCAAGAAGAGAGAAAGAAAGAAAAAAAAAAGGAGACAGTTTTGAGCCTAGGGTTTCCTAAGTAATTCTTTGAGGGTTTTTAGAAGTTAACTAGAACCCTTTTTCACCCTTAGTTGTTAGGGTACCATAAAACGTTTTTTTCCCCTGTAATTTGGACTAATTCGTGCTCTGCATAAACAGTTTACGTTCATAAACCAGAGGTCGGATTTGGTTCACGGACACTGGTTTTCGCTGAATGTTATGTAATGATTAGGTAACAGTTTTCACAGAGTGGGTCTAAGCGCAAAAAAAAAGAAAGAAAAAAGTACTTAGTATGGTTACATTAGCGGCCGCGAGACGTCCCTCATCATTCGGGTGTGGGTGACAAGTTCTCACCAGAGTGTTAGTCGATCGTGGGCTCACGGGCAGATCAAGAACCTCTCATTGGTCAATAAGACTCGTCTAGCAAAAAAAAAAAAAAAAAATTTCTGAGGCGTTGCGTGCAATCAGTGGCCGAGAAGATTCTCGTTCTTGCCATTGGTCCAAATTTGACCTTTGCAGGATACTTAAATCTTAGCTAGTAGTAGTTCCTGCCATTGCAATCATAGATCTAAATTATATTTTAAAAAAAGTATTTTTTTTTTTTTTTTTTGGCATGGTTGTCATTGTTGGATATGTCTTTCGTTATAGTTATCGGTGGTTTTTTTTTTCAGTTTTGAGGTTTTGTGGGTTCATTAGGCATGTCGTTTCGCAGAATTTCCTTGCAGTGTCGGATAGCCTTTTTAAAAGGTTAGCCGCTCAGTCGTGTATAAGAAAAATGCCACCCTCGCCTCTGGCGAACGTTAAGAAAAACCAACACTGACATTGTATGTTGGAATTGTTCGAGTATCTTGTTTCCAGAATAATCGTCGCTGTGGCGATATTAAAGTCGTCTCCTATTATTAGGAGCAAGAACGAAACAGACACAAAAGGGATGAACAGCCTAATTTTATATTTCTCCTTAATAACCGACCACTCTCGAAGCTTGTCGATTATAACGACACCGGAGCCGTTCTGAATTCCCTGCCCTGTGAACTCGGTTATGACTGCGCGGCCGCATTCTGTCACAGGTGTAACTTTAAATAAACCCGGTTGTCACTATATCTGGAGTTTGATTGCTTTTTTGCTTCTGACGTTTCCTCTATTTGCTGTAGGTAGGTGATACTGCAATCGTGTACTGTCGCAAGTGTAGCGCACAATAGAAAACCACGTTGTCACTATAACTGGAGATTTTATTTGTTTTGCTTTTTTCATGTTGCTGTTTATGTTTGTTTTATTTGCCATATATGACTGCAACCGCGTATTGTCACGGGTCTAGGCACTAGAAAACCAGTTTGTCACTATACCTGGAGTTTTGGTTTTGCCTCTTTTTGCGGTGGCGGAGGTTTGCTCTATTTGCTGTGCGTTGGTTTGTCGGCGCCCGCGCGGCTCGCGAACCCGGCAAAACGCTTCTCTCAGCCTCTCTCTCTCTCTCTCTCTCTCTCTCTCAATCTTTTGTTTTTGCGGGGGAGGGGAAAGGGTGAGGAGTAAAAGGGGAGAGGGAGATGGAGCAAACGAAGAAGCGCTTTGGGCTCTGCGTAGGTGTAGCTATATTTGCTCTTTTCTTTTCAACATCAATATATTTTCTCTCGCTCTCCGCCATTTTGTTTTTTTTTTTCTTTCGGGAATAGGTGTTTTTGTTTGTTGTTTTTGTTCTCCCGTCTTGGCTGGAGGGTGAGATGGTCGCATGGAGGGCAAGCTCTTACGAGAAGAAAGAAGTACTCGGGTCGGGCTTGTACTTTCTGTGTTTGTGTCTAAGTTGCTCCTTTCTTTTTTGAAGTTTTTGTCCGCGAGGGGTTCCGTCATTTGGGGGGTTTTTGTTTTTGTTTTGCATTTTACGTGTTTTTCGTTTTTTATCCATTCACGCCATTCGGTGATTTCAGTCTCGTCTTCAGTCTCATTTATTGTTTTAGTCCAATCCCTTCTTTTATACCCTTTTTTTATTATTATTTGTGTAGTTTCTTCGACGCTGTTCTCAAGCTCTCTCCGTGTCTAAATGTTCGGGATTTTTTATTATTATTATTCTTGGATTTTGGGAACTTTTTTGTGTTTTTTTTTTTAGATCGTCTCTGGTATTTTTTTAATATTATTCTCGTATTGGCTACTATGCGTCTGAGCTCGACCTTTTGCACAGTCTTTTTTTTTTTTTTCTTTCTTCTGGGTCGACGTAGACTCCTCTTTGTTGTTTTGTTTTATGGTCTTTTTTAGCCTTTTCCTTTTAACTAAAGTTCGTGTTCATGCGCATCATTTTCTCGAGCACTGCCACTACCTTCTTAATTTATTTCTTTTGCATGTGTGCTTTTGCTTTAGGCCTTTCTTTGCCGAACTTGAGCTTGGGGTTTTCCTTTGTTTTTGTTTTCTCGCTGAAGAGCGTTGTTTATGTTACCCTTTCCCTATCAACGCTCTCTTTTTCTCTCTGTCTCTCGTTCTCTCTCGCAAATCTGTTTTTGATTTTTTTTATGCGTACCTCGGAAGTTCTTTGCTCGTCATTTTTGGCGTCGATACCTTGCCGCTTTTCTATCCTTCCTTTCTTTTTTGTCTTTATTTTATTTTCTTACCGTCTGTTGGCATTTTGCGTCGCCTTGACAACCACGGAGCCTCCTTCTCGACACTCTCCATAAGTTTCGCCTTTCCCTCTTTGATTTGTAACTGTACTTTAGGTTTTGCTCGACTGATTTTCTTAGTGTGCGTGTGTGCGTGTCTGTGTGTGTGTAACGCTTGTTATAAACTTGCGTCGCTGCGACGGCATGAACCCCTCTGCTTTTCATGCAATCGACCTTAGCATTTAGCTTGGGGCCATCGAATGTAGGAAAGGTACAAACCGCTCTCATAATGAATGGATGGATGAATCCTTTTAATCGGGCGGCGGTTTGCGCCACCTAGCCAAGGCTTTTTAATTATTCACACACACACACACACACACACACACACACATATACAAAAAAGCAAGCTTTTGGCTGTAGTTAATTTATGTAGGGATGTTGCAAATTTCTATCGGAGTCGGGATTCAACTTTGAGCCCCGAGGTTCGGCTAGTTCGACGAACCTTCGAACTTTTAACTAAATTCGACGAAGTTCGACTTTATTATGCTGTAGTTTGTTTCATATTTTATAAAATGCTCACCGATGTTTCTATATTTCTTCTTTTTTTTCTTTTTTTTTTTTTTAGATTTTCTCTTGCGCCAGCTGGCGCCAGTTCGTTATCAATTTTCGCGCATGCGCACAACAGTCAAACCTGTTCAGAACTCGAAGCTTGGCAGGTTGGTGACGTCCCTGGCAAAATATTGGTATTCACTGGTTTGACTCAAAATGGCTTCAGCACGTTAAGGGACACAGCTGAACTAATAACCCAAATTGCAATTCACATTTTTTTTTTTTTTTTGCGAAGTTATTGAAGTTTGATGTAGTCACAAATGCCAATTGATGAGGCGACGCCCACGGAACCAGGGACCACGCAAAGGGCCGAGGTTCGATAACCATTTGGCCACGGGTGCGCTTGCTCAGAGACGCCCGTGGCATTGTTTGAGGCTCTATTTTTCGACGCAGAACGTGACGTCAAACTTTTGGTTTCTAGGCTAGGTGGCGCAAACCACCGCCCGCGATAAACGGTACAGCTATTAGCATCCATCTACCCATCCAGTGTTGTAATATAGGGCCAGTGCAGCTTTTTCCCAACGTTTAGGTACAATATTTTTTTTTTTTTTATGATGCAATATGAATGCTGGGGAAGCTCTCGCCAGCAAAGCAAAAAAAAAAAAAAAGAAACGTATTTTTTTATTTTTTTTTTAGATTGCTTAGTGCGGCTGCAGAGCGCGGGAAAATTTGAATGTGTTTTTCACGTTCGTCGTTTTCTCAATTGTCTATTATTTATTTATTTCTGTGTAACTAACCATGCCGTAAAGAGTAAAGTTGGAGTATTCTGAAAATGTGTTTATTTCGGGTGGCCCTAAAAACCGCCCTTAAACTAAAACATTGAAAGGTTATGTGTTTGTTTGTCATTGTATTGTGTAAATGTTGGTAATTATTTTATAATAGTGATAACAATAATAATAATATAATATTGTCATTATTCTCGACAAAAATACAATGTTGCTTGAGGGACGGGGGAAAAGCTGTGTAAACAGCTTGACTGGCCCCATAAAGTTTTAACATAGTTTTAACTGTGTCCTGAAAAAAAACTGTTAACGTGCAGGCGAGCTGGTGTAAGTTATATATGATGATTGAAAACCTGAGACTGTGGTTTGGAAAACAGAAAATCGTGAAGTAAAAAGAAGGGACAGGCAACGTCTCAAGACCTCTTGAGACGTTGTCTGTCCCTTTTTCTTTCTACTTCACGATTTTCTGTGGGAAGAAAAAGGGAGGGAGAACGTCTCAAGACCTCTTGAGACGTTGTCTGTCCCGTTTTCTTTCTACTTCACAATTTTCTGTTTTTCAAACCACAGTCTAAGGTTTTCAATCGTCATGTATAACTGTATCATTTTGCCCCCCAAACCTTTAAACTTTTGGTTAGAAATCGGGCAGCGCTCGCCCTTCATACGTCGAACTCAATCGATTTTTTTTTTTCTTTTTCTAGAAGGTCAAAAGTTCGAACTCGGGTACAACCAAAATGGCGCTATGCTTTATTATACTTACTCCCGTTTATAAAAAATGGTGCGGCCGACCGCTTTTTTTTTCTCGGCGTTAATCTGGGGGTGTAACTTTAGGCGGGAAAACGTTCGTTCAAATAAAGAGCAACGTCGGAGGCGAACTCCGTCCACGTGCCGCCACTCCATTTGTTGATCCTCCGGCAAAATCGGCGCTTGCGGGGGTCTCGCTGTTTGTTGACTTTTTGCGGCGGCGGCGCGCGGCGGCAACGCGCGTTTAAGGAGAGGAGGAACTTTCCTTCTCCTCCCCCTTTTTTTTTATTTTGCCCCTTTGCTTTCTCTCCCTCACTCTTGTTCTCTTTTTCTCTCTTCTCTCCTTTTTGTTTGCTCGTGGTTTTTCTCCCCTCTTTTGCTTCTCTTCCTTTCGGCTTGTCCTCGCTTTTGCGCGCGTGCGCGCGCCGCCCTGTCGGCGGGAGTTGGTGGGGGTCACGTGAGCAGGTGGTAGTTTGCAAGGCCGCCGCGTGGTCCGTCGGGATTGTGGCGTGCGTGTCGCTCGCGCCACCGCGGCTTTGACTGTGACCCGCGCGTTAACCGGATTACGTCGGAATGGCTTTGGTTGTTTCTTTTGTTTGGGGAAGCATAAAAAGATTGTCCGTTGTCACTCCAAGAAGAAAAAAAATGGTCAAGTTTTGCGCATTGTTCATACGCCACGCGAAGTCGTTTCGCTTTTGAAACGTGTACGTCTTGATAACACACACACACACATATATTGTTGCGGTTAACACAAGTCGTCCTCTTTCAGCCTTTCTGTTCGAAGCATCCCTCAGTCCTTGTATTTTTCCTCCCTTTTGTCACGTCGTCGTCTTACTCCACTTTTTCTCCATCATCCATCGGAGCAGCAAGCGGCGTCAGGACGCAGATTTTCTATCAAGAAACCCAACGAAGGACGACTCAGCATCTTCACCTCTTGCACTGCTGGACCCGCAAACAGCCCTATCGGATGATCTTGAGACATCTCATTTACACCGCTTATTGACGGAAAACGTCAATGGGTCACCATCGCTTCCTAGCACACTACAAGGTGACAGATGGACTTTGCCATCGATCCCGCCCCTCGAATCATTGGTTTCCGTTTGCTCCTGAGAAGGCACGACATGGGATTCTGGAGATGCGTCGCGACGTGCCCTCTGCAGGTAATCTGGGTCAGCGCGGGACGTTAGTCGAGGTTTCAGAGAAATTCTGCTGGCCCCGACTCGGAAGTGTAAGTACGTCGCCTGAAAGTGGAGGCTGTTCCTCTGGACACCTCATCGACGCATCTAGTCGCCTTTTTGAACCGTCGCCTTGTGCTGCGACATGGGCCTTCACGCCTGGTAGTCTCGGACAGAGGAACTTCCTTCGCATCATGAACTTGTCGAGGCCGCTCTCCGTGAACACGGGATCCCACTCACCGCAGCGTCACCATGCCGCCCGCGGAACAAGCGGTCTCGTGGAAAGGACCAACCGCACCCTGGGGGATATTCCTGCTGCGTTTGTGAGCACATTTCATGAAGACTGGGATTGGTACGTCGGAACGGCGGCCTTCGCACTGAACACATCCCATCAAGAAACAGCTGGTGAACCCCCTTTTGTTTGAGCTGGTTTATGGACGACATCCAACGTTGTCGGAAGGGTCGGCAATAGACTGCGTGGACTCGCCAAGGCCAAGAGTGCAGCAATTTCTCCAGGTGATTATGCGAGGCAGGGGAATGAGTTCGGCTTGCGATTCTGCACAAGAAGTCGAAGCTCGCGGAGCTTTTTACTTCGAGCAGTTCAGCGCCGCTGATTGAATCAGGTGACCTGCTACTTCTCGGAAGACACTTCAGATGTCCACAGCGTTTGGAAAAACTTCTTCCAGGGTACTGCGGGCCTTTCAAAATAAGTAGGCAACTTGGTCCCGTTACGTATCGCCTCGACGAGGAAGACTCAGAGTTCCCACTGCTTGTGGCAGTCGGCTCAAACTTTATGTGGCGCGTCATGAGTACCTAGACTTTCTCCAAGACGGACACTCTGAGGATAGTGGGGCTCGTGTTACGGGCGGTGAGAAGACGAGGGGACAACAGAAGAGAGGAAAAAGGACAAGAAGGGACGGGGGATGCTTCGAATAGAAGGACTGAAATAGGACGGCTTTAAAACCGGATGTTCAATTTTAATTCGGACAGATTTATTAGAAAAAAATTATCCGTAAAAGATGTGCTAATGCAGTTGGGGCAAGCGAGCTATACGGCCAGGGGGACGTCATATAGGTGGCAAATCTTTGCGATGACTCAAATAATTAAGTAAACTTCTTTTTCAATTAGAAACATGCTGATCATAATCGAACACCGCTACATCAGTCAATTATAGAACGACTTGAAGCTTGTGTGAAACTCCGGGGGCTCACCAAAGTTGTTCACTAGTGCAGCAAGTGCAAAACTAGCAGTGCAAAGCGAAAAGCTAGCAGTGGCGAAAACGGTTCCCTAAAACTCTTGCTTGCTTCTGCTTTGCGACTATACTTTGTGCGCCGTGGTCGTCCGATGTATTTCTCTATTTGATACCTACGTCGCCCAGTGGGCATTCCTTTAGCCATACGAGTAATGACTAACCGCTATTTTTTTTCTCCTTTTGCAGGGTTTCGTCAACTCCGGCTATGCGGTCAACGGAATCGCACATGTGAGTTGCCTTTTGTTTATGTTTTTGGTCGCACCACATTTGTGCCTTAACGACAGCATGTGTGCGCACTACATGTCGTGCTCTTCGATGAAACAAGGTCCCGCTCGTGTGGATAGCCGTAGCTCCTGCGGGCTTGCCGGTAAGTATAGATAGGGAACGATAAGAAGCAATCAATGTACTTAAAGTTTCTATTAAAAAAATATTATTTGAGTAAATTAACTATGTATCGCAGAGGGCTCAAACACCGCGAGACTGTGATGCTAGCGGTTGGGATAGAACGTGAAAGTTTGAGAGACGTTACCTGGATCACAAGGTGCTCGAGAGAGACGATATTTCTCGTATGAGCCAATCTCCACCTAAGCTTAATATTGTCAAAACGAGAAATGACTTTGTGGGCGCCTGTCCCATCTACTTATTTCAGTGAAAATAATAATAATATTGGCCGCAAACAAAAAAACAATAGACTCTTTCCACAACGTCCGTTCTTAAGGAAGATTTCGTCTTTCCCAATTATACTTTGATCCAGGTAACGTTCTCAAAACATTTTTCGTTCTATCCCCGCCGCTTTAGCCAGATTCTCGCAAAGTGTGAGCTTTCTGCAATGTGCAGTTCATTTACAAAACCAACAGACAAGGATTTTTTTTCTTCTTGGGAACGTTTAGTATCTTTTAGCACTTAGCCGCTGGCAAAATGAGAAGGGTAGGGCGTCTCGTTGGGATGCCCGGCCTCTATCACGTGCCGGTTGCCTTCGTTGTGCGTTGGGCTGCGCATGCACGCCTCACGAGACACCCAAGTGTTATCGAAGATGGTGGGAAGCTCGCACTAGAGGAAGTTGGCGCTAGAGACGGGACAACGGAAGGACCTCCACACCATTCTAATTCTGTGAGTGACTATAGATGTCACCTATTCGCGTCTCCAGCTCGTTGCTCGCCCTCTCGCGGCAGAAAAGGGAAGCGCTCTAGTGAGGGTCCTCGGTTCTCCTGCTCAGTGGGCACGGCGGAACTGCTCACAATCGTGGCTCGCGAAATGTCATTTCCGAATGCAAAGAACACCCTTCATTGTCTTCATGTGTTGCTTGAGCCCTGCCTCGCATTAGTAGGGGTCCTCAAAAGAGAGAATAATAGAACGATCACCGCACATGCCCAGTTATAGTGTGCTGTTTAAAAAAAAGAAAAATAGTAGTTATAATTAGGGGTGTCGCGAACTTTTGTCGAACCGGATTTTTTGGACGAACTTTCGGAGTTCAACTGGGTCGAACCGTTTCGACGAACCTTCGAACTTTTCACCAGATTCGACCGGTTCGACTTTGTGGACAGTGTGGCCAGACCTTGATACCAGCATGTTTAGGTTTGGAGAGTATTTTTTTTATGCAAAGGTTTTTTTTTATTTTATTATCAGTTGCAATTAAATGAAACCAATTCTAATCAATGATGAAGTTAATAACTTTATTGTTTTGTACTGTATTAACCGAAATAACCAATCAGCGCTGCCCTTAATTCATGCCTTAGCCATCACCATCCAATCCGAAGCCAACTGGCCAGCCTGTCGCGCATGCCCACACGAGTCGAATCTCACTAAGAGGTTCGTCGAGCATTCCACTAAAAGTTTGAAAAATTCGAACCTGGTCGAACTCGAACCTCGGCCGGTTCGCGACACCCCTAGTTATAATTTTACAGTTTTGGTCGGGGGTCCCCGAACGTCTCGGCTGGGGGAACCGGATTGGGGATTCGTAGCCGGAAAATAAACAAGCGAATATAAACGACGAAAAAATAAATAAATAGGTCGACATCTAAACAAATAAACTCAAATTATTGTTGTAAAAAAACAAGGTAAATGAAAGTATATACTGTAAACGACTTAATTTTTCCGGGCTCAGTTTTTCGCGAATCGAGCCAAAGCTGAAAATTTCAGATTATTCGCGGGTTCTAATTTCCGCGAATCGAGTGTAGCTTCCCTAGCGTTGCCGTATTGCCCGATATGTTCGTGGGACGTATTTTTCGCGAAAATTAGGTCCTCGCGAAAATTAAAACGTTTACAGTAGCTTATTTTGACATTACATATTAAGTTCATTATGACATTAAACAATATTTTTGACCCAGAAAACACACCAGGTATAAATCAAGACACATAGGAAGTTTGCCATGTTTACAAGGGGCAGAAGTATACTCACGAGCATGGCATGGAACTCGCGATAAAAGCTTCCACTTTGGTAAAGAAGGAAGACCAACGAAGCTGTACTATGGTGGGAATGAAATAATGGCCGGCTGCAAGTCGGCAAGCCAGAGTGGAAAGGCTCGAAAGGTTGCGCCATCTATGAGCGACGGCGGCAAGCCGATTGTCTGCAGTGGTTGCCGCCGCCGCTCATAGGTGGCAGTAGCTGTCCAGAGTTGCGTGTCATCATTTGTTTGCTGACGGACACGATACTGGGGAAACTAGCTCTTAACAGCTCCGCTGTAAAATATGTGACATAAGACATTAAGCACAATATTTCAATGCGCAAGAACGCGAAGGAAGTTTAACGCAGTCAAACGCATAACACTGAGGTCTAAGGTTGGCGACGTTGACTATGTCAATGTGCAATAAATGTAGCACGAAACTATGAGTGGGATGTAGAGTCAGAGCAGACATGCGATTCGTTTTAATGCCCGTCGCGAAGCCTTTTTTTTTTTTTTTTTTTTCTTTACGCACGCCGGTACGATGCTCATCTATAAAAAAAAAAAAAAAAAAATCGAAACGGGCAGGCAGGGGGCGGGGTTTGAGCCGAGGATCCCTGTGTTCTGCAGCGCGAGCTTTCGCTCCACGCGCTCCGAGCTGTCCGCCGAACACACTCGGCCGCCGACAGACCCCTAAACCTTGATGCTACTTTACGAGTGAAGAGTTTTGTTAACCTCGTGGCGGGTAGCGCGAATCCGTTATCTTCGGTATTTATTTTCGGACACCGTTCGGGCATCGCAATTATCGGCGTTTATGAAACCCAACATGAAATCGACGTCATTCGGTGTTTATGCAACATGGGCGCCAAATCGGCGAAAAAGGAAAGCGGCGCAAATAAGCCGGCAACGGTTCGCAGATGCGAGCGGACGTAAGATTTTTTTTTTTTTTTTAACTTTTTTATCGATATGCTTGAAAAGCTGCCTTATCGTGCACCTGTGTTTACGTCCTTGCTATCTGTACCGAGATATCGAAATAAAATAGTCGCAAACGCCGAATGATCGATAGTATTTCCTCCGGTGGTGACCTTTTATTTCCAATTCTTCGACCTACATTTATCAGACTTTTTTTTTAGAGACTGCTCCTCCCCCAACACACACAGAGGAAATAAAACGCTCTGTTTGATAACCGGTGAGTTTCCTCGCGTTGGACACTTAGCAGAGCGTTTTTGCTTGTTCATTTGGTGCGCGGGCGGAGTTGGTTTTCTTACTGTTCTCACGTTACAACGGACCGCTGTGACGATTCGACGGTTCAGTCAGGGTCGTCGGAACGTACCCCTTCGTTAAACCCCGTCAAGTAGCATAGACGGTCGCCATTTTTTGGGCCGCGGAGCGGGTGATTCGCTGCGAGCCGCCGCAGTCGTCCTCGTACACGAACGAGCCGAGGCCGAGTTGCACGCCGAGCGCTCGAGCAGCCCTCGCGCCCGATGCGATGCTCAGAGCGCGTGTTCCAACTAGTTTGAAAAACGGTGAACACCGGATAATTGGAGCAGACGCTACTAGGTGGCGCACCCTTTCGAATTGGGACACCTATCTGGTGTGCGGTGCTGGCTCCTTTGTTTGTGGAGGGGGACTTCTGCCGGTACGCTAATGAAGAAATGCCCTCACTCGCACCTTTCTTTTGTTTTGTTTCTTGGTTTGGGTATATATAGTTCGTTTTAATTGTTTTTTTCTTGGGGGGGGGGGGGGGGGGGGGGGGGGGGTATGGAGTCGTTACCTTGGTGGATACGACCGGTTTTGTGCTGCATCACCCGCTCTTTCCTTCTTTTTCTGTTTCCCCTCCGCCAGATCCCTCTGGGGGACAAGTTAGTTGTAATTTATTTTCCCTTTTGGTTGGTTAGATCTTTTTTTCTCGTTGTATAGACCATTTCTGCAAGTGCGCCGCCATCTTGAATTGACGTCACTTCCAGTATGGGCGAAAACATTGTTTTGCCTTTGCCACGCCAACAGAAGGCATTTAGGATATAAACGTAACCGTCACACTTTCTCGTTTTGCCTCGCCTTTATTTTTTTACTATTTGCAGGTTGAAGCGTTGGATTATTTTTTCATCGCCCATACCGGATACGCCTATTAGGTTGCTGGGGACGAGAGTACACAGAAAAGGTCTATATACCAAACTGCATCACCTTGAATCTTTTTCTGTTGAAAAGCGTGCGTCTCGATTCTGTTTGAGGTGTGTTAGTAAACAAGGTGTTAGGATGGCCAGCTCTGCGGCTGGCGGCGACCGTTGAGACGGCACATGTGTGGTGAACGTCGGGCATAGGCGTTTGTTCCCCGTGGCGTCACAACTGCCGCAGACAGCGGAGTAGATGTTGCTGTCTGAAATCCCGTTTTCGAACAATCGATGGCATCTTCGTGCCGTGCGCGGCGGCGCCTGCGAAAAGCGGGTCGTCTGCTAGAGCGCATTGTCTGCTATTCAAGTTAGCTGCTACTCACTCAGGTCGTCTGCTGCTCACTTCGTCTGCTAAAAAAAAAAGAAAAAAAGTTGTTTTTTTTTAATACAGAATATGGTTTAACACAGATAGAAGGCGCACTCGCAACTGAAATTTAATTTGGAACACATGGGCTTAAATCTCATAAAATAATTCCAAGATGCCCCTTCATGTTCTAAATAAAAGAAAAAAAAATCCTTATCTAGCAATGCTAATGAAGACTTGTATTGTGTTCGTTCTTCCTTCTGGCTTTTTTTCGCTAAAATGTATGTAATGAACCAACTAGCCCAACTCGTTAATTTGTTACAGAATATGTTTATGACTGGCTTCTTTCTATCTTCCTGTAGCGCATTCCTGTAACGGAAGAGCGTCACGCGAGCGGTGGGCTGCGACTCGTCGGGTGTGTGACCCCAAGAGAGGCGATAATGCGATAATAATAATTATTACGGTATTATTAATAATTATCGGAACTTCCAAAAGCTTGCGCGACTCGTGTGTAAGGCTTGTTGTTGTTGGGCACGAGACGATAATACGAAACGAATCGCAATAGAAATTGCAGCTCTATTCGTGTTTGCTATTTTTAACCCACATCCAGTTTAAAACAGTATTTAACCGTGCATGTCATTGGGATTCGACCAAGCAGTGTTTGTGGCGCCTGCTCGTAAGGTAAAAGCTCGCGCGCGCATACAGACACACACATAAACAAAACTTTCAAAAACGTAGCATGTGTTGCGCGACCACTTGTTGAACGTTGCGTCTGTGTAATCAGGCTAGGAGGATGTGCTTCCAAACCACTGGGTCTTTGTTTCGCTTCGGAGCGATTCAAAATACGACGCAGTTTTAAACGCTCCATTTTACGAGGAGAGCTCGAACGCGAAACACTTTATCTCTTCGGCGTTTACGCAGCCGTTACAAGAAGTAACGTCGCTCATTGTGTGGCTCGAACTCAGTTTTATGTCTTAGACCGCACTCCCGGATTACGAATCCAAATTTAAACCGGCTGTCACGAGCTGAAAGCTCGCTTTCTATTTTTTCCGAGTTATTTTGGGAATTTAGGAAGGTAACAATACCCGGATTCAAAGGTAGTTCAAGTGGATAATGGGATTCTTTAATTCGACTATTATTATTATTTTAATCTTCCTCGATGTCATTAGTCGGCGCGGGTGGCAACGTTCGAATCGAGCGTTTCGTTCGGTGTTCTTCGCGTGCCTGTTTTCGTTCACGTCGAATAGTTCACGAGCACGTTCAACTTTCCAAGCTCTTAACAAGTTTGCGCAAACGTGGAGATGAGTTCTTTGGCGTTGAACAGAATAGGAGAGAGAGAGAGCGCGCAGAAACCGCCATGGCCGCCACCATGGCGCGCCCAGATTTTTTTTTTTGGCGGTTGCTTTGTCTTTGTAGACGTTTGTACGCGTGTGTATATATCTCTTTGTCATCTGCTTTTTCGGGGTAACGGAGGGGGCGACGATTCCGGAGTAGCGCACGAAGAAAACAAGAAGAGAAAAGTAGAAACAAGAGTTGGGGTGGCTGGAAAACAAACAAAAACAAAAGACGGGGGGAAGGAGGGGAGACTGGACTGGTTATTCCCGTTTCCCCTCTCCATCCTCGCGATTGTTGCCGTCCTTTTTTCCTTTCTCTATCTCTTTCTTTCTGTTGTAATATTTTTTTTTCTTGTTTCTTTTGACGCCTCTGGCGCTTTTTGCCACCCTTGGTGCATTGTTCCTCTTCTCTGGCCGAATCGCCGCCTCCTTTCCCCTTTCGCCGTTTTTTGTCCCTCTCCCTTCTTCGGTCAGGCGGCAACAACAACTTCCCTCCCACCTTCACCCTGTCTTTTTTTCTTTTTTTTTTTTCGTGTTTGTTGCCGACTGTCCGTGGTTGCTTTGTTTTCAACTTTTGTTGTTTTGGGTCGGTTAATGTTTGAGGGAAAGGGAAAAAGGACTCCATTCCCTCCTCTCCTCACCAATGCCTTTTCCTGTACCTCTCTTTGTAATTTTTATTTCTCCGACTGTTAGGTGATTTTTTGTTTTGTTTCTTATTACTCGTTTTTTTTGCTTTGAGCGGTTCAATGTATGCATTGTTTTGATTTTTTTTTCTCCCAGTCATCACTCGTTCCAAAGTTTTGTTAAAAGATATGAAATCTTAGCAAACATTAAGAAAAACACTCTTGTTATCCCACGCGAAACACGGCCTTCTTTATTTTTATTTTCGTGCATCTTGGCAGTCACTGAACTCTTTTTGCCATGCTACCCGTGATACATCAAACTCGGTAGCTGACCTGGTGTTAGCCTGTGGAAAGGTGGACTGTGACTTCATAGCCGTCTCTCGTTACCGCCCAGAGATGGCACCACCATTATCGGGGCCCACTTGTTGAAATGTGCTACTATGCCTGAAATCTGGGGTGCAGCAGCACAAAAGGGAATTGAGGAGTGCAAGCAGCCCGGCTCTATCTGTGCGTGGATGAACTCCCAACAGAAGTGTAGAGGGTGATGAAGGACAGAGATTTTTTTTTTTTAAGGGAAGTGGATAGTCAGTTTAAATTTGAGGAGGGGTGGTGCAATGAAGGAAAAAGGCAGTGAAATTTTCGGGTACCTAGACACAACGAGTGTGGAGGCCACGCAACAGCGGCGAAACCAGTGGCTCTCACGAAAATGATTGACTAACATAGAACACAGAGAAAAATGGGTAGGGAGCATAGCCAAGAACGAACTGTTTGTATGCTTCCATGCAGCGAGTATTTCTCTTTTAGCATATCTCTTGGTTTACATACCTTTTGTCGGCAATTTTCAACCAGATCGAATTAGGATTTTTAGTTTTGTTCAGTCTCTCTTTGTCTTTTCCACTGTTCTCCCATTACCATCATCGTTATACTGTGGCCACCAAAAGTTGCATCCCAGGTCTAAGATCGGCCTACTCGCATGTTCTACCCCTGCGGACTAGCGAACTGACCTTGCATCCTTTGTGCCTTTTTCTTTTTCTGCCCCGTCGCCTGCAGAATCCGTCAGCACCTAGCCCCTTGGGTCAGATGCCTCCAAGTGACGGCATGCCGGGAGGACCCATGCCCCCCGGCGGCTTCTTTCCTGTAAGTCCCCTTCCCCACCGTTTTTCCTGTTTTCGTTCCATGTGCCCGGTTACAAAGTTGCGCTCCCGTGCTCTCTCTGCGGATATGGGCCGTCGAAACCCCCGGGGAAGATGCCCTGAAACCACTAACGTATCGACTTAGTGGCACATCAGGCGGCCTGGCCCGTTTTGCTGAGACCAAACTGCGGGGCAATCGCATCACTCGCCATAGAGTTTTAGCATTGTACTGTAACGAGGCAGCGTGCACGTGATGACAAACTGTTTGTTGGCGTGGTTGGGGCTAGTAATGTGGTCACTCTGCGGCTTCATTCCAGCCCCACATTACTGTTGTCTAGAGGGTAGTATAGGGATTGGGGATCTGTTTGTGTGCATCAAATTTGGTGCTAAGCTACAGGATTCTGAAGTAGTTGTCCCGCTGGATCATTCTTGGGGGAGCAGTCGAGGCAAGGGAGTGCTAACGTGCGGAAAGTGCGTTCTAGGATACGGGACATGCTTCTCGTGCTGTCCTTTGGTACGTAGTCAAGAACTGCTGTGCCGTTGCTGTATGCCCCATTTCGTTGTGTATACCTTCTCCGCCGGCTCAGTTTCGAGTCTTTAAAGGGCTGGCATGTCTTTGTCTTGGTTCCTTAAGTGGATGATAAATGCAACAGTAAAAAAAAAAAACAAAAAAAACTGGCACCTTGCTGTTTGAAGGAGGGTCTAGCAGTACATGGGGGGGGGGGGGGGGGGGTGATGTTTGGGCAAACTGAAGTTACCAATGGAGCACCAGTTGCAGTGTATAATACCAATGTGTCGCCCTGAACACGATCTATCCCGTAGTCAGATCTAACACAGTTCAGACTATAATGGTGTGCGAGTAACTTCTTGCAAATGTTTGTGCAGAAGTTAGTTCATCATTATGTGCAATTACTATTTAAGCTTTGAAGAACTAGGCACTTCACTTAAGGTCTAAAAATGGAAAAGACGCTGTAATGAACAATCCTGCTGAGCTTCACATTTCAATTCAAGCATTGACACCTACCTACAACTGCTATTGGGATGTTCTGTGTCCGTTTGTGACGTCATCCTGCCGCTCATTGTTTTGGCGTCTGCTCAAACGAGTGTCTCGTTTCACTCTTGCCTGTGTGCGTGCTTGCAGACGGCTGCAGTGTGACAAACTGTCCCATGTTCTGTTGTCACGTTGTCCACACACGTGCGGTTTTAGATGTGGGTGTTGTCGACGACTCACAGATGCATGCCTTTCTCTCGCTGTGCGACAGTCCACAAAAGGAGGGCATTCTTCAGACGACACCCGTCCCGGAGATGTACCACCTTTCAATAAGTGGCTGCTTTTCGGTGGTCCGATACCTAAACCATTTCAAAGGCAGTGAGCTCGCACTTCTTTGCCGTCATCTTGAAATCTCTCGGCAGTGGGCCAAATCACAGTGGCTGTTGCAGCAATCCTAGTTGCCCACGCTCCAATTGAAAAGAATGTTAAGAGAGCATCTGGGGATCTGAGTCAGGGTTGTCGTCTGCAAGTGTTGATTCCTTCCTGTGGAGTAGCCAGTGCTTGTGCATGTGCACTTCTTCTTTCCCATCTTTCTTTGAGTTGTTGTCTTGTGTTTCTTCATTTCCTGTCACCCTATAGTTCTACTTTCTTTATACTCTCCTTAAGTTTTTTATTTTGTTTGTTATCTTTCTCTTTTTGCGTACCTGGTGCGAGAGAGACGAGGTGTGAGCCACCTTTCTTTCCCTCTCCTCCCTTTCCTTCTCTTCCGCCCTCCCTCTTCTTCCTTTCCGGGCGTCTGCCTCTTCCGGTTCCGCCTCCTCTCCCTTCTTTCTGCCCTCTTTCCCCTCGTCTTGCCTTCCTTTCCTCCGTCTCGTGCCCTGCCCCCTGTCATCGAAACCCTGTCCCTCCTTGTCTCAAACCCCACCCCCATCCCTCCCTCCCTCCCGTTTGTCTTTGTCTTTTGTGCCCGCAGAACTCGCACATGAGGCCCTCGCCGCCACAGCAGCCCGCCAATCAACCGTCCCCCCACCCCCAGCCCCCTCCCCCCCACAGTCAGATGATGCAGAATCAGGTGAGGAGATGCCCCGCCCACCCCCCCACCCCCCGTCCACCTTGGCCCTGCCCACTTGATGGCTCCTCCCGCCTTCTCACAACACTCTAGTGGCATTAACCTCCCCCTTACTTTATTAGTAAGCATGTTCCCTCGTCCATTGAATGTGCCTCTTTGTTATCATTATTACAGATTTATTGATAAATAAGTATTTTTTTGTTGTCTCTTTTTATTTTTCTTAAAATCAAAGTGGTCCCTCCTCATGCCTCAGCCCTTCCACTTTTTTGTTTTGTCGCTTGCATTTCTTCCTTTGCATTATTTTTGGTTTTATTGTGTGTGTTTCTTACGCAGTAGCTTCTTTGCATCTGTTCTGTGTCAAAACCTGTAGTGCTGTTTTGACTTTCAGGGCTTCATGTGCCTCGCATTTGTGACTGTGCCATCATTATTCAAGTCTGGTTGTCCAGGCCACAGTTCTGAAGACACACTTGTGTAGCCGGGCAGAGCTTCTCGTAAAACTTGACACCCACTGCACATAACTGCACTGATATGCTTATGTGTGTTTTCCAGAGCCTCGCTTCACGGTGTTTCAGTTCCGCCTGTCTTTAAAGTTCTGTTTGCACTGTTTTTTGCATGGTTGGTCATGTGACAACTTGGTGCTCCACCATCTTTGTTTTCGTTTAAGAAAGCTTCGCTTTTGTCAACGGTCTCGTTTTGCAAGCGTGTGCACAGCTGTGCCCGTACGGTGCCCTCATGAATACTGAGAGCAGAAAGGAAGCAGGTGTTACGTTTAGACCACACTGAAGGCTAGCAGGTAGGACTTGACTAATCTTTATAGTGACTTCTCTGTTTAAAGAGGGGCTTGTGTTAACATGGTAGATGCTAGACTTGCAAGCTCTGTTAGTCAGAGCTGCTGTTTCACAATGTGCAAAAGCAGTTCAGCAAATGTGGGCTCAATTGAAGTGCTCACTTTACTCGCATGTGATCCCTTGGCTAGGCTGTTCGAAACAAATATTCCCCCAGGTGTCGTTTTTTGTAACCTACCTTCTCTCTACCAGTAATGGCTGAACTAGCTTAACCACACTAAACAGTTTGAAGCCCCTTGCACACTACCATAGCTTGGGTGGCTTCCATGGACAACAGTCGTTTGTGGTAATCTCAGCCTGGTGCTTTTTGATGCCTCTCTCACAATGTTGTTTCTTTCGCAGCCCTTTATGTCTCCACGGTACCCTGGGGGACCCAGACCTGGTGTTCGGATGCCCCAGCAAGTAGATTTCAACGTGAGTGTACACTTTATTCTTTTCCGTCTTTGGGGAGGTTAGTGCACAATGGGGCTGCCTCCAAGTTCTACAAGAGGGTTTCCTGAAGTGTACCAGGGTTCTCCTCTGGCTACATCGGGCATGCTCTAGAGATGCCCCCAGGGTGCTCCAGGGATGCCCCCAGGGTGCTCCAGGGATGCCCCCAGAGTGCTCCAGGGATGCCCCCAGAGTGCTCCAGAGATGTCCCCAGTGCTCCAGAGTTGCCCCCAGAATGCACTGGAGCAGTCCCTGGAGTGCGCTGGAGCTGTCCCCAAGGGGGCAGCAGAGGTCCCCGATGTCCGCTAGAGTTGCCCCAGGAATGCACCAGGGTTGCTCTTCCCTTGGGGTGCACCAGAGCTACCCCTGGGTGCACCCAAGCTGCCCTTGGTGCACAGCAGAGTCCCCCCTGGGGTGCATCGGGGTTGCCTTAGGGGCGCACCTGAGTTGCTTCTGCAGAAAATTATGACGCTTTGTTTGATTGGAATGAGTGAGTAAGTGAAATAAGCTTCTTGTTCCGTTTCTTGCAGCCCCCCGGTGGCGTGCCGGGTCAGCCGATGATGCCGAACAGTATGGATCCTACGCGGCAAGGTAAGTTTTCAAGTTTTAAATGCCCCCCCCCCCCCCCCCCCCTCCCTAATCACACCTATTAGATTGTGTGTGCAATAATTAGAACACTTTGTGTGCAGTGCAAGGAGGCATGAGAAGCTAACAACTGCTAGAGGTATTCTTAAGAATACGTACCGGATATCCAGTGAGGTGTATGTTTCGTTGACATTGTTTCGTCTGAAACCAATCTAGGAGAATAATGTAATGCACAGGCAGACAAGAAAACTTCTCTTATTGCAGTTGTAGCACATATGTTGTATATAAGAAACCTTTCGTACAGTGCACTGACTGAAATGCAGGTTACTGGAAGTCTTGCGGCGCTTCCGTTATTTTTTGTTTTGAGAAGTTTTGAACTCGCTAAATCTGTATAGGACTTAAGAGATGTGTACATGCATTAAAGGGATACTACAACCAATTTCGGCGCTTATTTTTTGGTCTGTACGTGTTCAAGGGAGCAGAATCCCAACATCTCTTGTTGAAAAAGACACGAAAAGGAATTTTAAAACAGATTAAATGATTATCAAGGAACACCTGGTGGATGTCGCTAAAGCCTTGTTTGTAAAGCCCATCTAGGAACCTTGACAGGTAGTGACGATTCCTCTCTCGCCGAGAACTATACATGCCCTGAACCTAACGTCGTCCCGTCAGCTCTCCAGTCACCGTGGGAAAAGGGGGAAGGAGAAACTCTTCTCTCACGGGACTCTCTTGTGTGTCCTAGACTTCCCCAGACGTGGCTGTTGTCCCTCTACAAGATTATAGAAGATTAACTCGTCACTCAAAATTCATACAAAGTCAGCTTTGCGCTTTGTTGCGGTGGTCCGATCGCTGGCGTGGTTCAACTGCTTTGGTGGCTGGAACGGCAGGGCGTCCTGTCGACGTCAGCCTCGCCGCAGTTTTTTCGCTCGTCCCGAGGCAGTCTACATCGCGGCTGCGCCGGATGTCACGTGCTCTCTGCTGGCCGGTCTCGGAGCGCTTGCCAGAGTGTGCTGTTTATAACGAAAAATACGGCCACCAGGCTCAAAATACAAACGTGCCAGGGCCGTAACCGGGGGGGGGGGTTAGGGGGTTCTGACCCCCCCCCCCCCCCATGAAATTTTTTTCTGGGTACGGCCCTGGTTGGTGCACTTGCAGCCAGCCGATTTTAGTCTCCACCTCTGCGCACGCGCAGTGGCGCTGGTCGGCTACCGGGTACCAAACCGGGACCGGTTTTCCGGTTTGCTATAACTCTCCATTATATGCCACCGATGCACATGATTCATAGGCGAAAATAAGACAATAGACATTTTCAAAATGGCTGCCGTTGTCCCCGAAACCCCCCCCCCCCCCCCCCCCCCCCCCCCTCTCCCTCCCTCCCTCCCTCCCGAAATTCTTTTCTGGGTACGGCCCTGAAACGTGCGATTGTCGTTTACGGATACTGTGGATCATATTCAGCCCATTTCTGAACACGACGGGCATATTTCAAATTTCGTTGAAGTATCCCTTTGGGTAATCGTGAGTCAACCAAATGTATCGGATTCCTGTAAACTGGTCGGTAGTGTGAATTACCAGTTTTAAATAAAATTAATGCTAAAGATTGTCTATTTCTTTTTTTTTCTTTTTTACAATTTTATTTATTGGCATTTAGTATGAAGGGGTCTTGATAGCACTGTTTTTCCGTGTCTATGTTGAATGCTAGATATTTGGGACACTGAAATGTTCCACGTTGTTTCTGCTGTCGGTCGGGCTTAGTAGCCCAGAGCAACGTAGGTGTATCTTTGGTTCTGAGAGATGAGGCAGCTGCGAAACTGGTCAATCGTTGTAGATGTGCCGCACGACTGTTCCTTGGAATCGGCGCTTCCGTGCCACTGCATGTACGGTTAGTACGAGAACTTACGCTCACATTGTTAACATTGTTGCGCGGGTAAGGGGCAGTAGTTGAGTGTTTTGTCGTAACGAACTCGACGAGCGAGCAGAAGTGGCGACCGTCGACAACAATGTCCAATTCAGTCTTTCTTTTGGTATGCAGGTGACAGTGGAGAGTTCGTAGGGTGGCAAGGTAGGTTGACTCGTTTCGTTTTTAGTTTTGCTTTTAAAACGTTGACGGCATGCTGTTGTATCTTTTTGTGCGTGTATATTCTGCTCTTGTTATTGGCTGGTACGTAGTGGAGAAGCCTCAATACCAGAAAACAGTGTGCAATTATCTCGAAGCAAGTCCCCAGAATTCATTCCCAGAATTCGAGACTCGTCGACCGATACGAGCTCGAACACGGTAACACTTCCACCCGTTAACCCTGCGGCGTTTTAGAATGTAAGGTCTCTCTGGGTGAGGGGAAGTCAAGGTAATTGATTGTGAAAACCTAGGTTGGCGTGGCATTTATCGAGACTGCAGGCTGTCGCTGGTTTTATTGAAGAGCTGAGCACGAGCCCCGCTTTATCGTGTTTGTGCCTCGTTTCCCTTGGCTTGAGAAGACGAATGCTCGTACCCATGTTTCATACTTGTTGACCCCCGACGCTCTTTTACGGTGGTGGCTGTTACGGGCTCTTCCCCCACCCTCAACTAAAAATGATGTGGGGTGTCCGTCTTCGTTATCACTGAATGATCGATAAAAGAAAATCCCGAGCGATCTGTTAGGGATTTGATTCCTGGTTCCTCGATTGGGAAGTGAGCATGCAGGAGTATTGAGCGGCGCCCACCAAACGGCCGCAGTTGCGGCGACATCGCACTGTGCCACCCGAGCCTCGCGCCGCATTCGTTAGAGGGCTTCCGTGCGTGTAAAATAAGTGAGCGTGTCGCTCTCCGACCAGGGATTGGCCCAGGTTCCTCCACGTAAGGTGCAAGATACGTAAAGACCTGTTAGGGTTTTACGACGTGTCTCGGCTATGGCCATGAGTGCATTGTAGGTTTACACGAACCGGAATTATTTTTATTAATTTATGTTTTTGCGTTTTAACAGGTCCTCCCACGATGAACCCCATGAACCCCCGGATGAACCCTCCGAGGGGGCAGCCATTGGGTCCCATGAACCCCGGGGTGAGTGAATCGGAAAGTCGCCGGCAAGAACTCGGTGCTTTCGATCGCTTGCAGCGTCTTACCGTCTCTTTCTCTCTCTCTCTCTCTCCCTCGCGCTGCAGAACTACGGGGGTATGAGGCCGCCGCCGAACAGCACCATGGGTCCCGGCGGTCCGAGCATGCCTCCCATGTCCATGTGAGCCCATAAACCGTTGCTCGTTAATTCTAGTACTCGTCGAGGAGACTCTGACGGCAATCTTCCCCCACAGGCCCGGTCCCGGCGGAAGACCATGGCAACCGAACGCGTCCTCGGTAAGTTGGTGTCCTCAGAAGACCATCTGCTAGTATTCTAGCCGTCGACGGCTTTAGAGGCGCAGTACGCAGCCTGTCGTGCTCGCCCTGCTTGCTTCGCGATTAGTTGGTCGGCGTTCTCGTCTACCGAAGCCGCAGTCGTGTTGGCTTCGTAGCGGTAATAAGATGCCTTGGGAATCGTCACAGGCTGCATTTCTTAGTCCGTAGTTGCCCTGCTAGTATATCTTGCAAACGACGCGGCATTTGCTGCAGACGTGACGACAAATGGTCTGCGCACGTGCCTTGGGTGCGCTCGAAGCATGCGTACGGCAGATTTTCTTTGGGGGGACACTGGCTAGAGATTAAGTGGGGGATGCGGGACTTTGGCCTATCTAGTTGTTTTTTTTTTAACTCAAATGTAAACATTTCAGGAAGAGTTTTACCTCAAAATATGAGAGGCATATCTGTCCCGTCTCAATTTTTGAAAACATTGTGTTCTTTCAATGAGGACTTCAATTTAAAACAAAATAAAGTAGATTTCCTGATTCCCCAGTAAATTTCACATCAGAAACATCTTAATTGCGGTATCAGAATAATTTTAACTCCGAACAAAAGATTCCTTCGTATGAAATTTCCAGCAAAAAGTGGAACTGAGAAAAATGCATTCAAACATTGAACTCCTTTACTTTATTACTGCCTCACAAGGTGTAGAAAATATTTTATATCAATGTAGCTATTCAGCATATGGTTATCAAATTCAGTGTAAGGGTGTATAACTAGTTACTAAAACCAAAATCCTCGTAATCAAAAAAAAAAAAAAAGTTTGGGTTTATATTTTTTTTAATTTAAACTCTAGGAAGTCACACATTTTGTTTTAATTGTCAGAAATTTATCTATAGTCGGTGAAAGGTTAAGAGTTGAGGGCGAAGGAGAGGAAGGCTGGGAAGGAGGAAGCAAATGGATTGCTGAGAGGAGAGGAGGAAACATCCTCCTCTTCCCCAGTTATCTTTTCCCTCTCCCTGAGCTCTTAACCTGTCGCCGAAGGTGCGTGATAAAATTCAACATTTTTTATGTGGATGGATACGCGTACAAAGCAGATATTTGATGCTTTCCTCTACACAGGCCCACCTAGTAATAGTGAGCAGGTCTGCCACACATGAAACATTGGCGAAACGTACGAGATAAGTTTATCCATCCCTCAAAAATGTCGTACATCGCGAGCTGTTAAGACAGCACGTGACACCTCATACGCAAGATCAAGTTTGTTCATCCAGCAAAAAAAAGAAAAGAGCCAATTGTGGACCACTGCCCCGTCGAGCGCGCTTCTTACTGAGCAGCGGTGCGCTGCGGAGGAGCGACACTCACGGAAGCGAGCTCTTCGGGTGTCGCTTCTCCGCAGCGCACCGGTGCTCTGCGAGAAGCGCGCTCGGCGGGGCCGCGAGAATGGAAATTATAAATTGCATGAAAAGGCCATTCGAATCAAGCGGCTTATAAGATACATTTAAAACATGGAGGGATGACCACGATCTTGAAATTTGTTCGAATTAACCAGAAGTATGAAATATCAGGGTTCGAATTATCGCGAGCCTACTGTATGCTTCAAACGTGTTGAAAGACTGTATTTGTACGACCGATGTGGCAGGGCCATCGCATAAGCAAAAAACTTGCCAGAGGCAGCACCTGCAGACTGTCTTTTATACAATGTATTGGCGGCAGGACAGCGACTGCACGAGACATTTAAGTCGTAGTCGATTTGAATGAACTGGAAGGGGACTCTTTCGTGGGTGACTGCATTTGCTTCTGTTGCTGATTTTCTGTTTGGTTGTTTTCTTCCCCCCTCCATGTTTTTTCTCAGATGAACTATTCGTCAGCGTCACCCGGTAGCCATTATGGGGTGAGTCTGGCGTCGTTTGGCGCTTTTTTCATAATGTGTTGTCGCCGGTTAATAAGACGACGGGAGGGGAACGGTAGAATTTCGCTGGTCGGTTAGGCTCATTTGATTTACCTGAACGTACTGTGCTGTTGAGGAAGAGAGTAAGGTGGTGAACGTCCAATCGTACCTCAACACAACTATACCTGCTGTGCACTTTTCTGCGCCGGTGCAGGAGGGGCAGGGAAATCAAACGAGCCGTCACGACGACCCCGCTGTTCCAAGTTAAGCTTTCCTTGGGGGTGCCCTTTTGTTTGTCAGCCCGTTCTTAAAAAGCAGTTTTTTGTTGCACCCTTGTAACAACAACTTTCTGAACCTCTTTTCTTTTTTTTTTTTTTCGTGTAGCTTGTCAGTTTTTTGTTGTGCACTTCAAATATGCAGTACACTTTGTACATCATTCTAAAAGTTAGCTTCTTTTTGCCGAGCCACAAGACCGTTCCTCTTTCTGTAGGAAATGTGTTGCCATACCATGTGCTCAGTCGGATCGAGTGACGTTGTTTGGTGTCTGACATACAATTGTTTTGTGAGTCGACTGTCCTTCATGGGCCGTGGACTTTGGTTCGAAATCTGGTTGTTGCTATACAAGTGTTTGCTTTAATCAGACACAGGTTAAGGAAAGTTTGAGGGAAAGGAAGGCTGGGGAGGTGGAAATAGACAAAATGCTTGAGAGGAGAGGGGGAAACCACCTCCTCTCTTCAGCATTCCATCTGCTTCCTTCTCCCCAACCTTCCTTTCCCTCCAACACCTTTCTTAACCTGTCACTGACTACAGGAGATGCTTTTCTCATGGCCAGATTGTGCTGCCTAACAAAACATAGCTTTATGATTACAACTACTAGTGGTGCTACTATTGCTACTACTACTAGTACTACTATTGTACCAAGCTTGGTCATCCTTTGTTCGGAAACCTGGTTGTTGCTAGACAAGAGACCCTTTTCAAAGTCCATCAAGCAACATTGGCAGTCACCATTTCTTTCTCACAAAGCGCGTGATTGGATTCGAACCCTCGCCGAGCACTGACTCAGTCCTCATGTCCAATAGACCATTTGCTATATTACCCAAGCATCAAAGAGAATGCAGGGATTGGTGTTCCACGCGCCGCACGTGCTGGCGTTAGCAGTAGTAACTTTTTTAAAGAAAATACCTAAAACAAATAACATCTTGCACGCACGTTCGTCAACGCTTTATTTTAGTTATTTACTTGGAATCTTTTATACAGGGAAGGCGTGTGCGTGTGGAACATTGATCCCTGCATTCTCCTTGATGCTTGGGTAATATAGCAATAGGTCTATAGGTGCTAAGAGTATGTCACCAAGCAATGGCGGACAGGCTTTGGCACAGACTTTTGAAAAGGTTCAAGTGTTTGCTAGATGTTTGTCTCATTGCCAGATTGTGCTTGCTGTCCAACAAAACAGTTTTACTGTTACAACTACTACTGCTACTGCTACTGCTATTACTCTTAGTACCACTCCCGTTGCTATATCACTTCTACTGCTAATATTAACATAATCTCTTTCTCAGGGACCTCCAGTCTCTGGATCTGGTCCCCCGGGTCCCGGAACTCCCATCATGCCCAGTCCGCAAGGTGAGCTTGGTCCGGCAACAATATCTGCTGGCAACCCTGCCTATCGACAGATTCCTTCGACCCATTTCGTTTGCATTTACTCGTCGTTTTCCTGCCGACTTATACTCAAAGTTCTTCTAAATTCTAACTAAATCTAAGATGCATGCTTGTGTAGATAAAGGACTAATGTGCAACAGATACCACACGTTTCGTTTGCTGCGCCTTGTTTGCCAAGTGGACTTACGGCCATGTCGACCCTGGCTTTTCCTGCCATCCCGTTTTCCTTGTGTGCATAGCTGTGCGTGTATGTGTGTGTGTATGACTGGCTGTGCTGACCGTCCCACGCCGCACATACGGTGCCCCGCACGTGCGATAGACTACCGCCGTTTGTGCGCATTGTTACCCAGAGTGCTTCGCTACTTTGTGTTGTGTGCCTCCTGTTTGTTGCGCGGTGTTCGTCGAGGCTTGGAGCTGTGGCTTCCAGTTTACATGACTCTAAACAAGTCTTGCACATTCGTCCAATGATTCGGCTGCTTGCCCGACTTTTGACACCTTCTGTGGTGTCGGGTAAAGAGAACCAGGGTCGTACTGCGCTGACGGCGAAAATTGGTTTTGCAAAGTGTGATGCTTTAATGCATCGCAAAGCTGCAACTTGTTGGCCCATCTAGTTTGTTTACAAATTTGCTTTCTCTGAAGGGCCATGCAATCTGGTTCGTTCGTCGTGGGAACATCAGAGTTAATGTTTCTTGTACCATTCTCACTTTTTTTTTTTTTTTTTTACGTTAAATTAATGTTTTTTGACATCCTACAGCGACCTTTCTTCACTCCAATGAGGTGTAGGCAAAGCAGAAAATTGTGATCTTCACCCATAATATCTGTTCGGGGGTAGGTTCACCCGCCGATGTCCACGGAAAACGAGCCTTTCTGTGATCCGTCGTGGCACCGCACTTTGCGACGTTGGATTTTCAGCGTCTACTGTCGGCGTTCGGGTCAAGTCTCGCACTTTGGCGACGACTTGACCACAGTGTTTGTGCGGCTCGCCCGTCCGACAAACTACGACATAGTTCCGCACTCCACTCTCAATGCCGTTGCCACATCTCGTCAAACACCGCGCACCACTCCGAGCATTTTTTTTTTTTCTACCCTTTTTTTTGCTGAATGTGCTGCCAAGTGTGCGTGTTTGCTGACGGGCACGTTGCTCGTTTGCCCCTCCCCCTTGTTCCCCCCCCCTTGGCCCCTGTGTTGTTCTAGGTACCCCCGGCCCTTTCTCCCCCGCCAGCCACCGAATGAATGCCCCCAACACCAGAAGAGGTGAAGTTGGACCCTCCCTACCCAAACTTCCGTTCCCCGCCCCACCCCCACCCCAGCCCACCCCTGTCCCCGCCTCTTTCGTCGTTGTCATCCCCTGCCCTATTATCTGCCCTCCTCTTTCCTTCTTTGGTGTCGTGTGCCTTTGTTGCCGGACTGCTTTCCCGCTTGTGCCTTGACACTGCAGTACTGGGAGGTGCGTGTGCGAGCTAACGTTCGAAGTTGCAGGAGAAATCGTGGACAAAAACGTCTGGTTTCGTAGACGAAAACTTTTTTTTGCTTTTTCTTGGCAGGTTTGATTCAATTGGTGCCACAGGTTAATCCGGTTTATTTTTGCTCTACTGCGACTTTTTGCTGTGAAACAATTAGGTTGGATTAAGGTGGCTTAACAGTGAAAAAAAGAAAACTGCATATTTGAAGAAAAACGTAAAACGAAACGGCAGCCCACAGTTGCTAGACCTTGGCGTACATAGCTCTAACCGGACCTTCATCTGTGAGCAAACTAAGGCTTTCATTGTACTTTGTTTCGACTAATCCAAGGGCCTCGTAGCTTTGTCTGTGGTCCACCTCGGGGTAACTAAAAGTGCAGAAATTTTGGCTCGCGTCGTCATGCTCATTTGGGATTTCGAACTGCATGCGGCGTCCAAACGCCGATTCACCCATACAATTGGAACGAGGTGCCCTGTACGCCTGGCTGGGGTCTAGCGCAAATTTATAGCGGGAGTTTGAAGGGGGAATTGCCAAATTTGTACCTGCCAGTACTGCAGCTGATGGTGGGAGTGTTGTCCCTGTAACCCGCTTTGGACTGCAGACGCCTTCACCGACGACGTTTCTGTGGCGTGCTGTGGAAGGTATGGGTTCTTGCTCGTGCGCGCTTTGGAGAAGGCTTTCGACGTGCGACCGAAAGTGCTCTCTTACCTTCCACAGCACCGCCGCGGAAATTTTGTTGGGAGCCCACTCTAACCGGTGACGACGTCTTTGGCCACTGCTCTGGGCAACGGGCTTTTTTTTTCTTTTTTTTTTTGCAAGTGCTTGGCTCGCTTTTTTCCTCTCCTGGCAATTTGTGCTAGAAGCGAGCGGAAGGTTGTGGCGAGGTGCAGACACTACCGAGGTGGTAGGGGTACAATGCCTCCTCAAAATGCATGCAATGTTTTTTTTTGTTTTGTTTCTTTAAATAATGCGGGGTTGACGGTGCGCTTCGGCCCTTGTTGCCTGCTCGTTTCCTCACTTAACACTGGACGGAACATTGTTGTCCTTGTGTTTTCTTTTTTTTACTTATTGGGTGAAGTTTTGGAAGTTTTTGCAGTGTCTGTGTACCCTGAGATTTTTTTTTTTTTTTTATCTTGCTTTTTTTTAGATTGTTAAAAATCCAAAAATATTAGTCCAATTTTTTTTTTTTTTTGATATTGATCTACTGCGAAGCTATGTGATTTAAGAAGTCATCCTCAGAGGGTCTAGTTGTTAGAGCTGCTTAACGACGTGGTATTAAATTTCTTGAAGGCCCTCTTCCTGGGTTCGTTTCGGTGCCAAAGGAGGTCACGAGTTTGCGTCATTGCGGTGCAGGACGGCGCGGTACCGACTTCCACGATCGAGAGTCGAGACGGTGTTTCTGTCCTAGACGTTTATGATTGGACTTCTTGTTATCTAAACACAGCGAAAAAAAAAAAAAGGGGGGGGGGAACTACAATGAAGGTATTGAGCAAGCTGTTCAAATAATGTGTCGTAATGCTCCACTTCGAAAACCGCAAGGTCTGACGATTGTCCGTTTCGACTTCCCCGCCTCTGCAGACTCTTCGAATTCGGGCGGTGACGGAATGTACGCCATGATGAAGCCTGTGCCTGGCGGAGGAATGCCTGGGGTACGTTTCAAGTTAACCTTTTCTCTCCTCTTTCTCGTCTCTAGATGTTTTTTGTGTTTATTTTCTTTTCTTAATAGGGTGCAAAATGTTTGTGTTGACAATGTACTGCCTGGGCCCGAATAAATCGCACCCGCTAGGTGCGATTCGCGAGACTTTGTTTTGCACGCCACAACCGTAATTTGCCCTTTGGCAAATATGAAAGAAGGAACTTGCGGGAATGGGCCGAAATTTTGGCCATGGATCGAGCATTAGAATACTCTACCATTTATTTGAATATTCTTTAGAATCGACCTTCTGCAGAAATATTGGTTTGGGCATAAACGGATGTGGTACCCTCTCTCTCCTTCCTCTGGCCCAGCAGAAAGGGAAGATGGTTTCTATGTATCAACCTCGGGACTGAAGACGACCTATGATATAGGCAAAAACAAAGTTTGGGGGAGCTGTATCTAGGTCACAGCAGCTCAGCGGGCAAACGGGATGTAGCGGATGGTTGGAGTTTTGAATGGGTGGAAGAGGCCTTGCATGCGCATTGTTTTCAGCCACTTACCGATAGCGAATCAAATGAAAATAAGGGGTAAGCTAAGTTTCTGCATGCCATAACAAAAAAAAAAAAAAAAAAAAGGTTGAAAGAAATGTTAGTTTTAGAATTTTTGACCCTCAAACCTTGTGGTCTCGAGAAGGGGCAATGAGCCATAAACAACTGTCCTTCCCAGTCACAGCGTTCACTCCGGCCATGGTTTAACACTGTTTTTGCCAAGGTCGCCATTGGTCAAGGCCCTGCAATTACTACAAGGGGGCTAACTTTTGGCGTTTCTGAAAAAATAGCAAATCATGCCAAAAATAGGGGTGGGCTATCTTTAGGGGGTGGGCCATCTCTCACGATATATTACGATAGTCTCAAACCCAGTTGTGTGTCCAGTTGACCGCACATATTTGGCAAAAAAGTGGATTTCCTTTGTATTGGACTGGATGGGAACATCTTAACCCGGATGTGCGTGAATTAACTAAATGTAAGCTGTGTACAAGTGTTCTTTCTTCTCATTCGAGGACAAACACGTTTTCTGAGTCCAACACTTTTTTTTTCTCTCTCCAGTTCCAGATGGGTCCCGGGGGCCCTGATGGCCCCATGGGGTCTATGGGGCCGGACATGGGACCACCCGTCATGAACGGCATGTCTTCAGCAGGTGGGTGGAACTTTAGTGTACCTCGCGCAATTGTGGTTGCGTTTTCTGGGGCGCATTGTGACCGAAAGTCTCCTTCAAATTGGGGGAATGGGGAAACCGTACAATTTTTTTCCACGGTGCATCGAAGCCTAGCAACGACGATTAGTAAGTCCCGCTTCAGACGGGGCAACGTTCCTTAGTGTGACACCAATTGCTCGGATCGCGTCCGGCTCGAAACAAGCGAGCCACTCGGACAACTCGGTGACAATTGAAGCGGCAGCAGCCAGTGAGGGACGCAATATTTTCACGTGGCATCCCATGCAGGGGTTCTGGTTTGAAATCAATCGTTTTTGGGAATAAACAGCTTCACAAAGAGGAGTTAATATTCTCAATGACATTTAAAGGTTTAAAAACGTTTATGGCGTGCAACTGTGTCTCTAAATAGTGCAAGAAAAATCAAATATAGTGACGACGATGGCCAATCGCAGCAAGTGGCTGCTGCGTGGGAACGCAGGCGGCCCGTGTTGCAGGTGTTGCGACGTCAAGTTACTTGTGGGAGAAATAGCCCCATCTGAAGCGGGCCTAAGCATTGGTGGTTCCAAGCTGTCAACATTGATTTGCTGGTCAGCTTTGTAATTGTGTTGCGCTGCATGGTTTTAGGTTAATATTTCGTAAACCACTGGGGATTACGGCCATTTCCACGAATTCTTAAGGCGTTTACAGTGTAAGCGTGCAAATTTTTTATATATTTTTTTTGTGCATTTTAAAGGTGATGTTTGTGCTGACTGGACACTGTCTCAAACACGCTTAGTGATCTTGAGCTTGCTAAGCCTCAACGAAGTGCGAGGTTAAAAACCGACGTGCTACATCTTCCTTCGGCAGGGTTGAAGATTTGCAGCTTGGGAGGGGAGGTTTTCTTCTTTCCCAAGCTGCGGATCTTCAGCCTTGCTGAAATCGAAAGACACGGAGAACAAAAAGAAAACGGAGAAGAACAGACTGACACTCCACGTCGTCCAACATACCAAACAACATTTTGCTCCGCGCGGATGTCGATTCAGGTGACGGCCTGGACGGCATGAAGAACTCTCCGGCCAACGGTCCGGGAACACCGAGGGAAGACGGACCACCGATGGGAGACTACGGAATCCCGGGTTACGGACAGGAAAATGTGAGTTGCGTCCCTGCGCCCTCCTCTGGGGATCTCTCTCCAGAGCTAGAGATCTCTCCCCCATACTAGGGATTTGGGGAATAGGGGAGGGAGAAAGAAAGGGGGAAAAATTAGTCGAAACTGTGCCCTGTTCTCTACCTTTTTGCCGGTGTGTTGGGGGAAAAGGGGAGGTGTAAGGAGAGAAGGGTTTGCCCTCTCCAGTTGCTGATTATTACCCTTGGTCGCTTGGTTTTTAGGTTTTTCACCAGTGGATTGATAGTCAGGTTCAGGCGAGCTGCCGGTGCTGACTGCCGCGTAAGAATAACAATCTCTTTGTTTTCTCAGACTTCTTTTTTATTTTTGTCTCTGGCTCCTCTTTTTTTCTCTTTCGCTCTCCCCCTCCTTGTCACATCCTTCCCCACTCTTCCTCGCTTTCTGCATACCACATTGCAACACCATTTGAGCAGCAGCAGCAGCATCAGCGTTTTGGGAACGGCACATTTCTCTCGGAAAGGAGGCCCTTTTGTTTTCGTTTTCTCGCGACGTCCTTTGGGATCGAGGGGAGGTGCTATGGAGACATGGTCGTCGCAGCAGTGTATTCAGAGACAACCTTGTAGGCGTCTTGAAGCAAATTCTGCCAATAGATTTCGAGCGACCCAAAACCGCTTCATGCTTGCACGCTTAGAGCAGCGAATGCTGGCTCGTGTTTGAATGTGCATAAAAATACCAAAAAAAAGTGCTCCATAACCGCTCCAAATCTACCGGGGTAATTTGCCATTAGATTGGATGGCTGCCCTTTGTAACAGATACCAAGTAGTATTGGCATCGTAGAAGATATTCTGTCTGCGATGCCTCTCTCTAACTTACGATGCGCTCAGAAATAGGACAGGCCAGATCCTCATGGCTAGCATCTGATGTGGGGAGCTTTTAACGGGATAGTATGAAACGACGTTGCATCCAAAGTCTAGGATCTTTTTGGGGTGGTATCGTTCTGGAGCTCTTGCTTTTTTCGGCCTGCACTTCTACACGAGGCAGTCTCCTAGACGAAATTATTTAGAGTCGAATAGTATCCACCCGTCCCGTAACATCTATCCTTTTTTGAGCTAATGGCTTTTGACGGGTCTTACGTTACGGGCCCCTCGACTACGTTCTGTCGACTAACTGCCTTCCACCTGCTTCGTTGTATGTATCCTGTCCCTGACTAACAAATTGTCTGGCAACAAAGAGTTTCATTAAAATAACCGCGCGCATTAAATGAAACACAAACCGAGAGTCGGCAACTATGTTCTTTTCGGTTTCAACTTCTCTTGGGGGAAAAGGGTGTAGGTAAGGAAAAAAAGAAGGAAACTCCTAGTTGGCTACAACATTCTTTAGGAATCTTGCCACGATTTTTATTGCAGTCTGAGAACGGGCTATCCATTGTAATAGACCCCTTCCCAGAACCCCGTCGAGCAACATTGGCGGTCGCCAATTCAAAGCGTGCGGCAGGATCCGGGTCCTCAACGATCGCTCACGCAACGATTTCTCGATAAAAGCTGAGCCGAGTTAACGCCAAACTCCGTCGCAGCCCTCGTGTCCGATGCTCGCTCAAAGTTCATGCCCAAACAGTGGCGGATTCTGATAATTTGCGCAGCAGCTGCTAGAGGGTACGCACTTTTGAAAAGGATCTACTGCGAGGGGCAAACTCTCATTTTGAAATTCTGCCAGGCAAAACCCATCCATATACCGACGCACGTTTTTCCAGAATAGTTCTATGCCATACGAAATGCTTGGCAAAGAAATGTGTACTGGCAGTCTTTTTTTTTTTTTTTAATTTAATCTGGTCAATTCTTTTTGGTCCGCTGTTCATATCTAGCTTCACTTTATTTATAGACACAAATATAATAACCTGGGGCTTGCAATATATATTATTCGTAGAGGTATATTGCAAGAGTGCAGACAAACCATGCATGTGAAATGGCCCGTAATGCAAAACCTACGGTACGGGAAGCTATCTATCTGCACAGTGTCTCTTTGTGCTTGGAGCACCGCCGGGTGGCAACGAAAGGCAGGCCTTTCCCCTTCCCTCCTCCTTTCTTCAACATATGCACAGTCCGGCTTTTCTAGGTTTTTTTTTTTTTTTTATCATTTTTCTTCTTTGGAACGGGAGAGAAGGAACAGACAACGCAGAGGCACAGCATCTATTGGTTTTGGCATGCAGGGCTAAGTGTTTGCCAATTTTTCATGTTAGTTTTTTTTTTTTTTTTTTTTGGGGTGCACTGCAAGACACAGCAGAGTGCAAAACCAAGTTGGTTGACACCTTGAAAGGCATGTGACAACTTACACGTGTGTCTGTGTGTGTGTGTGCGTGCAATAAGGCATGCGTTTCGTTCACCCTGTGCCTTTTTGGGGCAATGGGGTTTTGTATGTGTTTTCAAAAAAAAAAAAAAAAAAGTTATTTCTTTGTGTGTTTGTGCCATTTGCTTCCACTTGTTTAGTTCACTCCCTTTATGCTGGCAGGCAGCCAACTCTTTGTCATTGTTGGCGGTGCCCCTGCATTGCTGGCAACACCCCGGCATTGTCAACTGTCAACAGTGGGGAGCTGTTGACTGGGGACTGTTTACGTTGAGCGGAGGAATTTTTCTCTTTCCTGGGAGCTGTGTTGGCTGGCTGTCGCCTTGACGGGAGCTCGGAGGCTGTTTGTCAATCGGACTGTAAAGTGACAGTGTAGCTCGTTGAAGTGGCGTGGCGACACGCCGCAAACGCTTGCCCTCTGTCCGTCGTGGAATGTCTGAACTGGGCCCGTCGCCCTCCCCCGTTTCCTCCTCTCCCTCCCGTCTCCTCCTTCCCCCCCGCTCTCCCTCTGCTTTCCGCAGGACCAGACGGAGTCGGCAGCAATACTGAAGATCAAGGAGAGCATGCAAGAAGAGGCCAAGAGGTTTGAGAAGGACACGCCGGCGGAGCCCCCCGACTATTTCATGCAATAACCGGGTGGGCCCCCCCCACGTCGTCATCGGCGAATCGAGAACACCAACCAACCAAGCCCGCCAGCCCTGCACCTCGCAGAGAGAGTCTGGCAACCCCCACCACCCCCCCACCCAGACCTTCGCCCCCTCCCCACTTTCCCCCCAGTCTCCCCACTTACCCCCCACATACTGCGAGCGGCGGGACACTTCTAGACAGTGCTGCAACTTCGGAGGACACAAGACGGCGACGCGGTGACAGTGACGACGATGATGACAGTGCGGCCGCGCGGCGGCGTGCAGTGTGTCTCCGATGAACTCGTGGGACCGGGGTTTGGTCGGTTTATTTTAGGGGGAGGGGAGCGGGCTGGTTCACCGGTGGAAGGGGTTTGGGGAACGAAGTCGTTTCTGCAGTCTCTAGACTTCAGTTTTCTCAGCCAGTAAGCAAGCAGCTTCTTTCTTGTTTCTCTCCTTTGAGTTGGGGGGAGGGCACCCCAAATTCGCTGCCTCTACGCGGACAGGATTGAAGGACCGCTCGTATTCTCGGAGTGCAAGAGACTACGGGCTGGGGTTGGTCCCCTCGCCGTTCCTCGCCCGATTGAGTATTGAAGTGCAACGGCGTTTCGAAGACCCCTTCTTTTTTTTGCCTTTTTCTTTCTTTGCGAAAGTTTGGTAGCCAGGTCGGCGAGTCTGAGTTTGCTAGAGCTGGAACTTCTCTCACAGGCCATCTGGGAAGGCAGGGAAAGAGTAGCCAACGTCCTCTGGGCCTGCCGCAGTATTTTACAGAGCTATCAGACTTTTCTATTTTTTCTTTTTTTAAGTTTAGGATCTTATCAAAGTAAACTGTTCGATCTACTGCAGGCTGACTGATCAAGATTGCTCCCGATCTTGGCCACTCTTCTGCACTGGTGAAAGTCGGGATGCCAGCAGACGCCTTTCATTCCCCACTTGGTTTTGGGAATTGAAACGAAAATTATACTCCCTTTACAGAAAGGGTACCATCAAACATTTTACAGAGGAACGGCAGTAGTAACGATCACGGAGCATCTCCTCATGGTCTCTACGGTGTGGTTGCCGTAAATGGTTTCCCTTGATTTTAGGCAGGGGTTGCCATCGGAGTCGTTCAGGGGCACTAGATCAGCCCGGCCGGGGAAGACTGGTTGAGAAGGTTGTTGCAGGCACTGTAGGAATGGCGGCAAAAGAGGTTGGGGTAGCGCAGTTAAACGAGGCATCACGGTGGGGGAGTTTGGGGGAGGAGGCGGGGTGTGTGGGGGGAGGGGGTTACCTTGCGGGCTGCTCTCTCTCTCCCCTTCTCTGGGGACAGGTCTCTTGTCTTCTGTCTCTCTTCTTGGTCTTCTGGAGGTGTCCTCTTGGAGGAGGAAACGGCGTTGTCGTGTAAACGGGTCGGGACGGATGACCCCGTCCGTCGAAGAAAAGCTTTTTTTTTTCTTTCTCTCCTTTTCGCAGTGTGTGGTGTGGTGCATCTTGAAAAAAGATGTCGATTCTTTTCGTTTTTTTTTCTTCTGCGCTTTAAGGGCCCCTACCTTTGCAAAGGGTTACTGGCACAGACGTGTGGACAGTCGTAGAGGCACCGCTTGTCTTTATATTTTTGTTTCGACCAACATTTTCGGTTTTAGGTACCCCTGACAACGGTCGAGGCTGCAGCATTTGAGAGGAGAAAGAAACACCAAAATTGTGCACGCTAGAGAGACGAAATTTGTGTGGCGCTTATACACCTTCACGTTTCAACCGCAAAAAAAAAAAAAAAGAAACATTTTTCCAAAAAAGTGGGGTCTTTTTTTTTTCTTAGGGTTTTGCGAGTGCATGAGTGTGCAATGTGCGTGCGTGTCTGGACGAGCGTCTGAGCGTGTGCAAGCGTGCGTGAGTGTGTGTACATAATATATGTATATGTAGCGGACGCTCGACGAGACTGGTTAGACGAGAGTGGACAGACGAAGAAAACTATACAGCATCAACGCGGTTTGGAGGCTTTCATCTTCGATTCTTGGTTTGGACTTTTTTTTTTTCCCTCGTCTAAAGAGCTATTTTGACGCGAAGATAACTCTTACGGTAGATCTTTTGCGTCATTCTAACGTTACTTTGGAAGAGGCACACACTGTCGCGTCCATATCATTAAACAAAACCGCTCGCCTTTTTTTTCCCCCCCACATCATTTGCAATTACCTTGAGCGGTGTGTCGTCGCGGAACGTATGATCCGTGAGACAAGGGGACGTTTTCATTGTGCCGTGTACTCGTTGCATGTCGCGGCAAATTGCGAGGGGGGTAGGGGAGAAGAAAAAAGAGAACCAACAACACTACATGCTCTGTATATATATGCATATGTACACATATATATATTATATATATATGTAAACTGGCAGGAGGAGTGTTTATGACACGGAAACACGTACACACACACACACGTACACGAGGCAGACGAAGAGAGGCGCGAGGCCCGTCTCGACTTCCTCGCTAGGAGGCGGACTGAGGCGGAGGCTGCGAAGACACCACCCAGGACTCTGTACTGTTGGTTTAATTTATATGCAGCAGCCCCCTTTTCTCCTTTGCTCCCCTTTGCTTGTATCATCATGTGCATGTGTACCCACGTCTGAAACAAAGTGTTTCTGTTTACGACTTTGGCTCTTGCTTCTTTCTTCATCGGTGCGTCGTAGCCATGGTGTTGACGTCTGGTGTCTCTTGCGTAGGTGCTTTTTTTTTTTGCAACCTAATTTTGATATTTTGTGAGGGGCGTTTTCTAGTCCTTTACTCGGTGCTCGCATTCTTTTTCTTTGCCTACGAGCTCTTCAACGGGGCATCGAGATTTTGCATATCGATAACTGCCAGAAGGCGATAGAATCTGGAATGTAGTGTCTCTCGATTTTTGAAATTGGAACGAACCTCCGAAAATTGGGGGGTGCTTCGACTACTGTGGTACTTCCGGACTTGGAACCAGCCAGGTGTACGGCTTCCTCGAAGCAGTGGACGAGAAACGAGGCACAGAGGATGGCAGTTGCAGCTGTGGTCTTCGGAAGACATGGACGGGGACGAATTTTCGGTAGCGGCGAATTCGAAAGCCATTTGGGGGAAAGTGCTGTGGTGTGGCACTTAGCAACACCTAGATAAGGTCATAGTGCCAAATTTTTAATGTCGCCCTGAGGAGGCGAATGTGGGGCAGGAATTGGACACGGGTGCTGTGTCTGCGTTTGACTGTGGCTTGTCTCCTCATCAATTGACGACTTGTCTTGGGCAAATGCCGACTCTACACTCGTGTCCAAACCATGCCCCGCTTTCGCTTACTCTTGGGCAGTGTAAAAAATTCAGCACTGTGCCCTTTTTATCTAGGTGGCATTGCACCTAGCGGGGTTTCATGACGTTCTCGTGGAGGATCTTTCCGGTGGAGTCGTAGAAGGTGATGGCCATGGAGTCTGTGGCTGCCTCCATGTATGCGAAGCCGCCGTAGCTGAACACGGAGGCCCACGCAAACTTCAGGGAGTTCCGGGGTAGGGACCGCCTGTGGATCAGCGACGGGTTGATGAAGTTCGTGCAACCACTGATGAAGTACTCCACGGTCCAATTTTCGGTGTCTGGCCGGATGTGCTGAGGACGAAAAAGGCAGCAGAGTTTTAAACAAAAAAAGAAAAAAAAAATATTTGAAACAAGTATTTTTTAGTTAAGTGCTACAACTATTGAGCATAGGCTGAAAGCTCGAACATTCAAGAGTATGCAAGCATGCTTAGGTAAATCGAAGTTTGAATGTAATGGATACTTTTTTTTTTTAAACTTAGTGCTGTCTGTGGCTTGGAAAGCTGTTTTACTTTTGACAAAAACTAATTAATTGGGCACCGTCACTTATGTAGAACGATGGCAGATGGGAAATGGTTTATCAATCTTTCAATTATCTGCCTGTTTCGATGGTGTGAGCATAAGAACTGACCAACGCAAAGTACTGATCCGTAAGCCCATTGGTTTAGTTTCCGCCATCAAAAGGCTTTTAGTCAAACTTTTGCCAAGATATCGGACCGCACTCCACAATACATGCTTGCATCAGTTATCTATATAATTTATACGTCATGTTGTGACGTCTCGATAGTACAGGCTTCATATATCCACTTTTTTTTTTTATTTATTTATTCATAATACCTTGAGGATCCACTTCTGGACATTATGGAAAGGGCGGGGGGGGGGGGGGGGGGGAATTTGGTCAGATAATAGTGTAGTCAACACTTGAGAGTGAAGAAAAGAAAATGGATGTGTTTGTGAGTTGTACACGTGCAAAACACATCCACACGGCGTCGATTCTTGATGGGTATTCAAGTGTGCGAAGGCAGAGAGACGCAGCACTTCGGAGTGCCAAGGAAGGTGTGAACACGCCGCGAGACCGGCAAAAGCCTTCGGAGCAGAGTAGCGCGATGTAGAACGCCCAAAAGCCAATCTCCGCTGCGTACAAAAATCGTCTGCTTCAAACGCCATTGCCTTGGAAATTGCCTTCTCAACATGTTCACACGCATCCGTTATTGTGAAAACTGTTAGTGCTATACCAACTTCACGACAGACTAGTTTCGAAAAGTGTGAACTCTGCGTTTATTTTTTAATCAGCCGTGTTGCGTCGATTTCCATTCCTCCTGGAACCCTTAGTACCACGTGGCTCGCGCCGAACTGCTCTGTCGGCCATGTTGTCGGCAAACACGCGTATGAAAGGGATTGCGTTACTCTGCTCTGTGGGAGTTTAGTGCTCTATTTTCGGCGAGTTCTGCCTTTTTCCTGCGGCACTGCGCTTTCGTAAAAAGTCCACGTGTTTTCAACGGCAAGTCTCACGGCTTATACAGAAATTTTTAGAAAAAAAAAAAAAAAAAAAAAAACTTCGGCGCATGACGACGAACGAGTAAAAAACGTGTCTTTAGCACGCTGCCGCCGGCCTCTGCGACGCTAGCGAAACGAAATGTTTCTGTATGCAAGATGGCCGTCCGGTGGCCGCACTCGCGGAGCGGTGATGCGCGATCCAGCAATTGTCATAGGAATCGGCGCATCCATGTCATTGAAAAAAAAAAAAAAAGTAAAACATTGCTGAATTACTACTAAATGTGCGTACATACCTATCAGGATTACATTTCTACCAGTGAGCCTCGTAGGTCTCTGAAGGGTTTGGAACGAGGTATATTATTACATTTACCAAAACTGCTCCAAATAAGGTTGAACCCTTTGAATTGGACGGTGGCTTGCTCCACCTAGGCTGCATACCTGCAGGTCATGGTCGTGCCCTGCAAGGTAGGCGTTGACCCGGTACTTCTGCAGTAACGGCACCAGATCCCTCTCCAAGCACTTGGTAGTGCCGTGAGAGCAGGCCGAGTAGATTGGGTAGTGCCCCGCCACCAAGATGTACCGGGCCCTGCGTTCAGAAACTCCAGTGAGACAGCTTTGCCTTCTCTTCAGGCTTTGGCATGGCATGGTGTGACGTCATGCACAGTCACGCACACGCATTTTCTAAAATACTGGCTTGCCGAAGCGTCCGCGATGCTGGAACACGCGATTATGTATTCACGTACTAAGCTATTCCCTACTACTGGATGAAATAAAAATATAAACAGGGTAACGGTAAACGGCTTCTCCCGTTTGCTAGCTGTTCGCTTTGATGGGTTTTGCGCAGCTTTTACCAATTTTTGTTCTGCTATAAGATGTTTACGCGCATTGCCCACATTTCCTTATAGGATTGACAGTCCACGTTCCCGCCGTCACGTGACGTATCAGTAGTGTCTGAGCACTTTTGAATGACGTAATAACGCGACACACTGATTGGCCAACGTCATTGGATCGGCGACCGATCAGCAAAGGCAGCTTGCGTCACGGTGGCTAAAGTCGTGGATTGCGCAATGATTATTGGCTGAAGTTATGACGTCACAGATACTTGCGTGGATTCGGCGAGCTGTTTGTTGATCCAACGGAACTGCCTGTTGTAGAGAGCCTCGTTCCTCTTTTGGGGTATCGGCTGCGATTCCTCGTCCTCCGGGTCCGTGTTGCCGCACAGCAGCACCGTGTCCAGCATCAAGATGTCCAGCGTGCCGTCGGAGCCCGGGATCTTGTAGTTCTTCTTGTAGTAGTAGTTTGGGAAGTACCTTCCGGCGAAAAGTTAACAATAGACCAATTTTTTTTTGAAAAGTTGATCGCGCAACATTTGCTGTCGTCATTTCTCGGGCACGAACTGTGTAATTAAATCAGAAAAAAAAAAAATACGTTTACAACTTCTTGTACTGCCGAATAGACTACTTCCATAAAGCCCTGCGTGCAACACGGCGCGCGTTGCACTCTGGGAACTAGTTGGCCAGGGAGGAGAGTGGCAGGGTTTCGGTTTCGATCGACACGTCGTCGTTTTCCGGTCCCGAGAGCGTCGTTTGTGGTCTCTAAACTAACCTAAATGGCCAGACCTCGAAGCTTTAGCACAATCCCGAGACGTATAGCTTGTCTTAACAGATGCTTGTTGTTTTTTTGTACTTGAGCCTTCCTGTTAGCGTTCCAATCGAGGTATGTGGGCGAGCCAGTGCTGGGAATCCCGACGCTGCGAAGCTCGGGGATGTTGCTTGTGTACGAATCAACAAGCTGTAGCAACCAATAAGTATGCATACATCGAGCTCGCGCCTTTACATTAGTGTTGTTGATCAGGAAGTTTGTTTGTTTCGTGCGTCCATAGACGAAATATTACTTTTTGCAGTTACTGTATTTCTTAATATGCCTGAGTATGCGAGGTAAAACTCGGAGGCGCCATTGAAAAGCTCAATTTTGACACACTTCTTATCTCTTATCTGTACTGACCCGCAGCACTGCACGAAGTGAAGTCCCCACCCGCTTGCATTCCATTAAACCGCGTATGCACATAAAGTTATCCTGCCAATCATATAGGCAAATTCGCACATACAGACCGTTTTGAAAAAGCAAAAGTCGAGCACTTGTGTGAAGAATGTCGCACCGTTCCCCGGAAGTGCGCCAGACGGGCATGAACCCCCATGCGCACCGCATAGGGGTTCATACCCGTCCGGCGCGCGGTGCTACATTCTTCACAGAAGTGCTCGAACGAATTCAAAGCGCGTTTGACGGTTGCTAACGGCCATAATATTTGTTTTGTGTTTGTTTTTTTCCTGCCTGAGTATGCCGAGATAATTTCAGACTCACCGTTCAGGCGCAGATCTTGAGCGTCAGTAAAAGCTCGTTCAAAAAGGCTTAGCGAGGAGTAGGGGACGCTTGTTAGGGCCTCCGTCGTAGCTAGCCGATCTCAGCGTTTGCGAGAAGTTAATCTTCTACCAGCATAAAATTCGAGTGGGAGATATATGATGACACGAGGAAGACATCATAGTAACTTTTGTGCAGTAGTGAGGTCAAATTTATTGCGTTTCCTTAAAAGTTCATGCGTAAACGCTGGGCTCAACTTTGATACCTTGTAAGGATGCGGCTTTCTTTTCGCCCAATGAAGTAACAAGAAACGGACGTTTGGCAAACATAATACGTAAAAGGCTCCAGATGAACAAATTTCAGTTCTAGTTCAGTGGTACTAGACGGGATTATTGAAATTGAGCTCAAACATGCACTCGTAGGGTGAGGTGACTAAGCCACGTCTTACTACGTTCGCATACGCACGCACAATATCCGGTGTTTCGGGAGCCAAGGAAAGTGCCCCGGTCTTAGTTTTGTATCGCTCGAGAATCAGTGTATTGTACGTTCGTGAAAAGTCAGATAATCGAAAACGCAAGCAGCGCGTTCGGTCGCGGCGTGATAGCATGAGGTGAAGCTGCTCAGTCGAAACCGAAACTGAGTGGCCAACTAGTTTCCAGAGTGCACTGTGTGGTATTTCGCCGCGATGGGGCGCGTCGGTTTTGGAAGTAGTCCATTAGAGCGCAGCTCTTGAGGACGAGGAGGGAGGTTACAGAAGGGACGGTATTCCCCTCCTCTTCTCCTGCTCCTCTACTATTTAGCGAAAAAATGTCCCCGCTAAATTCAGTGGAAAAAATTCCCCGCTAAATGTATCGGAAAAATTTTCCCGCTAAATTCAGTGGAAAAAATTCCCCGCTAAATTTATCGGAAAAATTTTCCCGCTAAATTTAACAAAAAATTCCCCGCCAAATTTAGGGGAAAAATTCGCCCGCTAAGTTTAGCGGGGAAATTTTTGCGCTAAATTTAGTGGGGAAATTTTTTTACTATAGTGGGAACATTTTTTTCGCTAAATTTTGCAGGGAATCTTTTCCGCTAAATTTAGCTGAGAAATTTTTCTGGTAAATTTAGCGACAGAATTTTTCTGCAAAATTTAGCGGGAAATTTTTTCTGCTAAATTTAGAGGGGGAATTTTTCCGCTAAATATAGCTGGAATTTTTTTCCGCTAAATTGAGCGGAGAAATGTTTTATTTAAATCTATAGCTGGGAAATATTTCCGCTAAATCGAGCGGGCAATTTTGTTTCGCTAAATTTAGCAGAAAAATTCCCTCCTCCTCCTCCTCCCTCGTGACGTCATTCGTGACCCTCGTGACATCACATGTGACGTCGTTATGGGAAACGTCCCATGATGCAACGCGCGGTTACGCCGTCGCCGACGCCGCTCAAGCAGGAAACGGGCGCCTAAGAGCTGCGCTCTAAAAAAAAGGTCAAAGTGCATGGGAACTGGGAAATAAAGTAGAAGGGACAGAAGAAAGTGGGCAGACGAGCGTCTCGGAGACGCTTGTCGGTTCACATCTATGCCTTTTACTTTGTTTTCAGGTTTCCTTCCCAGTCACGGGGTTTAAACATCATGATTAACGCACGGATTTTTAAGAAGTATCTATTGGCCTTTTTCGTGGGAGAGGAGGAAGTTATCAATACCATCGCTTGGACTTCTTAGTGTAGGCGATCTGAGCCGAGACGTTGCCGTCGTGGTCGTGGTTCCCGGCGAGTATAAGCCATGGAACCTGGAGCGAAGCTGCGTGGTAGACGTCCTCGAATGTTCTCTGCCAAGAGAAACCGAACCGAAAGAAAAACTCTCTTATATGGCACGTCGTAGTAGGCTTGCCGATCAGAACCAAACACAATAAACGTCCGGCGTAGATATGAACATGACGACCGGTATTATAGGCCTACTCAGGACCAATACAGTTCAGAGGTTTAGGCACATTAAACGTTTCAATAATTTCAAACGGGACACTTGGTGGACTTCGGAACTAGCCCAATGAATGGAGGAGGTAAAGTAACCCTACGTAATAAGTATAAAGATTGTATTACTTGAAATAAGGGTACTGGAAATGTATAGCCATGGGTGTAAGTTCCGAGAGCACCCTTTCCACACCTACTAATGACGGCGTCATGTCCAGGCTTCGTCTTTTAGGTGGTATTGCCTCTCCAATGAAATACCTAAGCAATCGTCGTCACCTTAAATCTACGGTCGTCCGCGTTGCGCACTCCCTTGAAGTAGAAATTGTCTCCCAGGGAGAGAACAAAGTCGACATTCTTGATTGCCGCGACGGCAGCCATCGTCTTGGCCAGGTTCCTCTGTATCCGGGTCGTGTAGGGGTAGAAAGGCAGGCCACCCCAGTCGCCAAACACCAGGAACCGCACAGACTGGTTGTCGGCCGGACCCGGCACACGGATCGAGGAGGTCTGCAGGGCTTGCACACCGGCCCCCAGCCATGTTGGCAGCAACGGCACAACTGCAGCCGCCATTTTTTGAGCAAATTCATTGTCTTCGCTCAGCAGTTTTCACGTAACTGCAGCACGCGTCGCCATCTGCGCTACTCGTTGTCAATCACGATGCCTTGAATAGACATTAAAGTGGATTTTGAGTTTGTCTCTTTATAGTGTGAACTGCATGTCTACGTGCCCTAGGCATCTTAGAAAACCCCCAAAAATGCAATAATGTGTGTCCTTCCTCTTCATTAAAATTTAAAACACGACTGGGCATCGCAGCAGGATACGCCCTTTTTCTGAGATATCTAAAAAAAAGGAAAAAAAAGGTCGTGTCAGGTTTTGGTGCCGAGTTCGAATCATAAAAAGACGACCTCAAAGTCCACTTCAGTGTCCCTTTAGCCTAATTGCATACAGGTGGTATTCACTGGCAGCATATTTGAGGGCTGTCTTCGGAGCGCATGCTCAGAACGAGCCCCCACCTCTAAGAACTATAATATTAGCCTGGAATGCACGTGGCGTATAAGCCTGGGAAAGTTCATCGTAAGCCATGAGCTCAGCAACAACCGACTCAACTATGGCCGCCAGTGGAATTTATCCGGCGGGCAAATTCGTCTGCTCTTTGCGCGTCTCGTGTGAGTTCATTTACCCACCAAGTGAACCCACGTGCTTTTGTTTCCCTCCGACCTCAACCAAGGACGGCGTGCGCTCAGATCGCGCGTTCCCTGCACGATCTTTGTGTTGTTGCCCTTTGATTGACGTGCTCCCCTTGCGTTCCGATGCGCCAGAAATGGATTTTGGAACGCTTGCTCGCCGTATGAGAAGACTATGAGCTCTGCAGAAGAGCATTAATGCAGTATGGGGTCTTCACTGTACAGTAGATTAAGCTAGGAATCGCGCTGGCTGACATATATGGCTTGCATTGACGCCACATCATGCTGCCATTGCAGCGGTCTTGCTTTCGGGCGCGTATACCTTCTGCAGCGTACATTTTGCAGTCTCGTCTGCTAAACAAATATACGTGTGACCATTAGTATGATGCGATGTCTTCACGGGTAAGCAATATATATAAATGTTGGCACATACACGTCGGAAGATGTGTAGTGCGGCCGAGTTTCCTCGATGCAGGTGATCTGGGGGTACCCGTTTCTTTGAACCCGCGTTGAATGAAAGCTGCAGCATTGGACACGTCGCACGATACGAGAGGGACGACCGGACCGAGGCTTACCTGCCAAGCAGCAACAACAGGCGAACCAGCCGATATTCGCGACGGCGCCCGCCGCCGGCCCTTCTGCACGCGGCATTACAGCGCAGAGCGCGAGCTTCGCGTCGGCTTCGACGAAAGGAGAACGAAGGTATCGCGGTATCGGATGCTCAACTTGGCCGGGCGGTCCTCCCCAAACTTTCGACAAAAACGTAAAGAAGGAAAAACCAGATGCAAAGAAGACGAGGACCGGTCCGCGCACGCGTTCATTGAGCTGCACAGCAGGAAGTTCAACGTGATGCAATGACCTCTGCGCCGTAGTTGCAGTCCGGTATCGTGGGCTTGAATACTAGGGCAATATAGTCTGGAGTTGGACACCTGCGTTTGTTTAGTTCCTCTTTTCTGTGGGCAGTGACTGAGTTTCACGTGTAACAAAAGACCAAAAAAAAAAAAATGGAGATAGACACGAATGTTTATACAGCGATAGGTTGATGTTCTTTTGGTCGGATAGACCTCCTACCGTAGGTGAGCAATTTAGCCAGTGCGGTACGACTGCTAACCTTCGCACTAAAGTTTTACACCCTCCAGGGTGTAACAAGGGTGTTTCCGAGACGAACTCTTTCAGCGCCCTTATTTCGAGTAATACACCCTTTACAATTGAAAAGTGCTGCTGTATTGAACACGCTTCATTTTTGAAGGGTGTGAAAGCGGTGCTGTGATGCAGTACGGCAAAGTGACGATATGCTTCCGTCCAAACAGCTTTAGCGGAGGTTGTTTTAGCGACTATGTTGAATAGATATTGGGTGTACCAAATTTACTAGGAGAGAGCAGAGGGGGTGTAAGGTTTCTTGCACCGTTTCCCAAAGCAGAACCTTTTTTTAACACTCTTTTCACACCCTTAAAAAATGAGATGTTACAAGCAACAAAAGCTACGTGCCTGCATTCTCGTCCATGACAAAAGGCTGTATGAGGGGGAGGGGGGAGAGGAGGTCACAGCAAAATGGAAGATTTCGGGGGGGGGGGGGGGGGGGGGGGGGGGCGTGGGCCTCTCCCCTGGCTACGTGCCTGTATGCTGGTATATGGTGAGTAGCTGTTATAAATAAAACGAAGGGCTCTGTTTTGGACGGGTTCTAGATTATTTGCAAGGTAGGACTGCCATGGGGACCATATATGAGGCTATACTAACTTCGATCTTATAAGAGTAGTATACGCTAGCCGTTTTACGGAGGGTGTAGCAAGTTTGAGGTTAGGGCGCAAATATCCGAGAGAACGGTTAGTATCAGAAATAACAGAAGTTATGTGAGTAGTCCATGATAGGTAAGAGGTGAGATGAACACCCAGGTATTTATAAGATGAGCATGCTGTTACTTGAGTGTTAGAGAGGTAACACGTAAATGGTGTGGCACGCGAACTGCGGGAAGATGATAGGGATCTACATTTATTGAAGTTTAACGTCAACTGCCATTTTTCACACCAATGGATTACAGCTTCTAGGTCTTCCTAGAAAGCATGATGATCATGGTATGAAAGAATGGGTCGGTAAATGACACAATCGTCGGCAAACAGGCGCACAGAAGAAGCGATATTAAGGTGAAGATCAATAATATAGATTAGTAACAGAAGGGGGCCAAGTACGGTTCCCTGTGGGGGACACCAGTCTAGAATTTTTTTTTTTTATGCTTTCTGTCATTGTTACGCTCCAACTAGCATTATGAAGGGAGGTGAAGCTGAGAGAACCCTTAGGCAAGAAAGCGCTTTCAACATAAAAAAATAAAAAAAAAATAAAAATAAACTTCGCGTTAAAAAAAGAAAGAAAGAAAGAAAAAGATTGCTATTGTGTTTGTGAAACGTTCTATCATCACAAACGTTTAGCGATACTCTGAATTTCCAGACGTCAGATGCCTACGTTTACGGCGTTCTTCATAAGATGGTTTAACGAGTACCATGTATTCACTTGATAGTTGTTCGTAGAATGAAGCGATACTACCGCTAATCGGGCCGCAAAACCTGGCGACCTTCCAGAGCCGTCCATACTAGCGAGCTCCTCTCACTCAGTGCGCACAGGTGGTAGAGACCTCCTCCTTGCCTACCATCTGGTCCCCCCCCCCCCCCCCCCCGTAAACCAATCAGCGTCCAGAACCTCACTCCTCTCCCACCCGTCAACCAATCAGTGTTGAGCCTCGCGGCCACGCTTTTATCTAGGCTTCACAAAATGACGAACACCTAGACAAAGAACGTTATTAGGGACTTTTAACAAACCGTTACCGTGTTTCGCGTACCGCACTACGGAGTCTTTGAAGCATGCTTTTAAGCGCTCACCCGGGTGATACCGTGACCGCGGGACGCGCGCTTGATTAAAAGCACGATAGGGCAGTACGCGGAACAATGGTAACGGCTTGCTAATAGTCCCCAATATCAGCTACGTCGTGGCTGTTTTTGCTGTTTTATGTGCTTCACATTCTCGCTGTCTACAAATGCATATGCAGAGCCAATTACTTCAGATTTTCGGTTGGGTTGTTCGTACTTCGTTCAAGCCGTTTCAAATTTTCAAATTGCTATTCCGGGTCCCCAAGACGCCTCGGGTTGGGGCAGCTAGTGCATGAGAACCGTCTAATCGCGCAACACCGACAATCGACAGAGCCAAGTTCAGCCATCATCGAATGCGCGAGTGCGAAAGAACCTAGCCTAACCTAACCAGCACCTCCTAGAAGTTGTCTAGGAGGTACTGACCTAATCCAAGGACGCTCCTTGACCTAACCTAACCTAACCTAACCCAACCAAAACGAGTGAACGGGTCTCTCCTAGAAAAATATCAATGTCGAAATAAAATTATTATTTTTATCTTTTTTTTCCCCCTTTTTTTATGAAATAGTAGTTTGGGAGGTGAAATTGCCTTGGAGGCGGGGGCCCGGTTCTTTATACCTTTAAATACATTGAACACTTTTGGTTCTTTCTGGGTCCTCGCGGAGAAGCAAACATTAAGCATGTCTTGATAATGTATGATAAACCCTGACGTTAAGCTCACATAAGCAATATAGCTTCATACTTCTTATGTGACCGAGACCTGCGTGCTTCATAACACATTGACGTTGGTCGCAAGAACGTCATGAGAATGCACTCATTGATAATTGATATCGTTGGAAGAGTGCAAGAGGAACAGCGAATATTTAGGTGATCTTATTAACCTGGTACTTTGTCCGGAGTGTTACCATTTTCTAAGCAGGAAGGGGCGCAGTGAACTTGCAAAGGCGACCGAAATTGGGATCGTTGTGACGTTTGTTCAAATTTCCCGCCGTTTCTTATGTATCTTGCATAAAAGCTTCTATTCGCAGATAGTTGGGTAGCGGCTTGCGCCACCTATGTAATAAACTGTAAACGTCTCATTTTCACCCTCTTTTGTTTGATTTATTCGCATGTTTGCGTTCTAAGTAGTATAAATAGTGATAAATACGGTAAGTCGCGAATATTATTTTCTCCAAAGCACAGTAACTTTGATAATCGCGTTGCTGCTGAAAACAAACCACATTGACCACATGCTTGTCACTGATCGGCTTTGTCGAAACAGCAAATTTCCACGAACATCGACATTAGCGTTTTTCATTCATTCATGAATCCACACGATTCGTACTCTCCACGTGCGCGACGTGCACTGTCCTGCTATTTACGTTCAATACGTGCGTTCAAGTCAACGCAGGCTCGCACCGGGAAAATGCTCTATCTCGTAGGTCTGGGGCTCGGAGATGTTAAGGACATCACCTTGCGAGGCTTAGAAATCGTAAAGAAATGTTCCAAGGTGTATCTGGAGTCGTACACATCTGTGCTCTCCGCTGGACAGAGTCAGCTTGTGAGTAGGCTTTATTTGCGGCTAGCACTCAGTATGTCACTTTGAGCGTTGACGCTGATGCACTGTGCATTTTTTCGGTTCCTCACCGCAGGAAAAATTCTACGGGAAAGAACTGATCCTTGCCGATCGGGAAATGGTCGAGCAAGGAAGTGGTTGGTATGATGTTCACATTCGAGTGTAATCACAGGCGTCGCTGTGGTTGCGCCTCTTCATGATTGGCCCGAGATGTATTGTGACGTCATTAACTGTATGTTGTATGTCCGCGAGACAGAAATAAATCGTTGCTGTGTTGCCTCTTTCTGATTGGCCTACAAGGCTCGGTGACGTCAGAAATCGTCTCTGCTCGCGGAGCAGACGAAAATCATGCTGCTGTTGCCTTTTTCTGATTGGCCTAGGATGCTCTATGATGTCAGTATTTGAATCTTAGTTTCTAAGCAGAAATCATAACGCTAGTAATAATTTTTATTCTGGCCTGGGAGAGCCACACAGAACTGAGGCAAACAGTTCTTCGGGAGCAATGCGTTTGATTAGTTTGTTTTCTGATCGTGCAGTCGTTGAGTTGCAACACCAAATCACATTTGCATAATTTGTCATTGTGTGTTGCAGAAGAAATGTTGCAGGCTGCGAAAAATGAAGATGTCGCTTTTCTCGTTGTTGGCGACCCACTCGGGTAAGTACAAAATGTAGGTCCGGTGTGGCTTGTGTAACATCACTGCTTGATTTCTCATAATGGCAGGCATAACTGACTGCTGGACTAACATCACATCATCAAACTCGAGGTGTGGGGTAGGCAATGCATATAATGGCAGGCATTAGCAGTCTGGTGAGTGGCAAGTGTTATGGCATCATAATAAAAAATGCTAACTGCTACACAAATTCTTTATAGGCTTCCTGCGTTGACCAGGGGGCGCTGCGAAAAGGGAGATTACCAAGCAAAGATTAAGTGAATGGTGGCAGAAATCGAGAGAAAACTAGGTATTTTCTTATTCACTGATGTCAAGGGGGTTTCATAGCCTCACTTTCTTTGCACTGCGGAGTGAATATAGATTTCACATTTAAATATTCTAAGCTTAAATGGTAAAACAAAATGGCTAGGTGGCGTAAGCTACCACCCGATCCAAAGGGCTCAGCCGTATTCATCCATCCATCCATCCATGTTAGGAGTTGTTTTAGTTAGTACAAACTTGAGCGTCTCAAACTGCCGCACACATAGAAGCGTGCCTGATCTGGTGTGGAATGCAATCACAAGGAACATACAAAAAACAACAAAAATTCAAACGCCGTCGAAACTAAGATGCTAGGAGCTTGAACCAAGAGACGCCGTTTCACGCACTATAACGTAAAAAGAAAGAAAAAAAAAGTCTTGTTGCTAGGCGTTTTAACGTCGCCACCCAGAGAGAAGAAACGCGTACCTTAGCTGTGGTGGCATGAATCTGGCCGATTTCGGACGTCAAAAGGTGTTTTTCTGTTGTTCAGCACTACACAAAAAGAAAAAAAAGCTCAGCGAAGGTGCTAGGCCCAATTGGGTGATCTTGTACTACCCAAAATGAGGGCGCCGCAGTTTGTTCAGAGCTTCGGCACAGGAAGTGTATTTTGTCCCGTAGCCGCACCTGCACTGTCGACTCAATAGATTCGCTTCAAGACCCTATCAGGCAACATTGGAAATCACCATGGTTCATCATGGTACAAAATTGCACGGGGGAAGCAAATTGGCTTCGAAGGTTGAAGGGAAGGGTCATTCTTTTGGTTCCTAGTTTATGGGCTAGGTGGTGCAAGTTACCACACAATATAAAGGGTACAGCCATTAGTATCCATCCATCCATCCAGTTATCACTTCCAGCCAGTAGCATGTGATTGGACCCAAACCCGAAACCAAATGTAGTGGTAAATAATACAATAACAACCAAAGCAAAAAAAAAAAAAAAAAAAATGCTTGGCTACACTTTATTAGAGTTTGTTGCAATCTGAGATTTGGATGAAGATCTTCTGTCACAGAATGAAGGGGTGTCCAAACAGGACACTACAAAACGCACGACTCCGACAAATCTTGAAAATTGAAGCGGACGCGCCCGCTTCAAGCCCGCTTCAATTTTCACGATTTGTCGGAGTCGTGCGTTTTGTAGTGTCCTGTTTGGACACCCCTTGAGACGCCACAAAACATGCAGTTCCATAACCAGATATGGAAAATGGAAAATAACATTATATATTCAATGTAATACTTCTAATATTGATGGCGTTTAACACCTGCCACTGCGAAATAGTCTTCCAGAACATGGCCGTTTGTATACAAGCCCTCTTCCGTGTCTTCTCCTGCAACACCTTACGTTGCAGCAAACTATGCATGGCTCGCCCATGATATCATTGTATCCTGTTGGTTGTCATTCCTATTTGCTCTTGCTGAAAGAAACGAGTTCAATGGTGCAAAATTTGCACTGCAAAAGTCGTGTGCATAACAGCGAGGCCACCACTATTACCGCTGATGTGACGCCGGTGCAAGCCATGGGGAGATGGTGCACAATTTTGCCTAAAGGGTCTGTTACAAGAGTGAATGGTGAAATACCCACAAACCACGGGACCTTTCCAGTGCCACCACGCATTCTGATCTGATGCTGCGAGCGCACGAGCTTGGGGTTCAAACTCGGCTGGTCCACAACGCTTCAATCTTGACGGCTGTTGGATGCTGCGGCTTGCAGGTGATGTATTGTGGCTTGAACTTTGCGAAAATCAAACCTTGGTGGTGTTCAGCTTTCAAAAATAAAAGCTTTTCAAACCCTTGAGCAATATTTGTGGTATACAGCAGACCTTTATGCAGAGGTAACATATAACTTAAAGTTTTAATCAGGTGATGCTAAAAAAAATTTAAAAAATTGCCAACATACTACGAAATAAGTGCAAGCACCTGCCCAAAGACGAGATAATTGCCACAGAATGAAGGAGAGGGTTGGGTCGGTTCTGAACTGTGCATTTTTGCATACTTTGACATAGCTTCAATAAATGATGGGTTAATGGATCTTCCATTCCTTTCCTCTGCAATGCAGCTCTACAGCTTTGGTGAGACAGTTTCCATTGTGCTGTGGACCGAGAGCTGGAAACCACACAGCTACTATGACAAAATCGCAGCCAATAGGAGGCGAGGGCTTCACACACTCTGTCTGCTAGGTACTTACGCCGTCTTTCACCCTTTTCTGATTTCTGCAGGGATGCAACCTCTCGGGCTTCTGCAGTTTTTAACGTCATCTGCTGAGGGCACACTGCCAAATGTTTTCTGTACAATTCCTAATACTCGTAAAGCTCTTGTACTGGTCATATTTTCAGCTTGAAAGGCATCAAATCATGGTATCCTAGTCGTGACTGATTGTGTGGGGAGCCAGGCACCTTCTTGTGTAGCAGCAGCAATGAGACTGCATTTTATCTGAGCAGCAGCGTTCGTGCTACAACTGATGCTTCTAGGTTTGGATGCACTTTGTGGAGCTTTGTGATAAAGTAAAAAAATTGTCCATGTTGAATTAACTTGAGTCTGGGGTAGAGGAGAAACATCAAAACGTAGAAGGGACAGAAAATAGACAGGACGACGTCTCAAACTCAAAAAAATTGTGTTGTTTACCTGGCGGGATGGGTGTCGACTATTGAATTATATGTATTATATTTTGGCTGCATTTGGTTCCTAAGTGACTGGCAGCGCTTTTTTTCACACTTCAGACATCAAGATGAAAGAAAAGACGGTGGAGAACATCATCAAGTGAGTGGCCGTTTACCAATTTTGCTTGAATTGTGTCACATCTGAGTAAAACTTGACTTAAAAGCTATTCAGTACATCTTTAGCTGATCTCTTGATCCTACTTTCTTCATAATGGTGAGGTCGATAATCATGCTCAGGCAGTTTTGATTACTGTACACGACTTAATTTTCGCGAATCCCCTGCGATTCGCGGAAAATAACCCAAGCAGCACAAATGTCTTGTGAATGTGCACAAGACATCCCTGGGACGTTAGGACATCGTAAAGACGTTCACAGGACGAAGTGTGCTACCAGGGAGGTCCTGCGAACAATTCCAGTAGAATGTAAACACGTTGCGATCTATATTGAGATCCAACCACGTCGCGAAAATTAGAACCTGCGAATTATTCCAAAACTTCAGCTTTGACTTAAATTGCAAACTATTGAGCTGCGAAAAACAAGCCCTTTACATTACTCACCCGGTTGGTTATGTGTGGTTCGCCGCTTCACGTAGCACAAGTTCCTAGGGCATGACACTAAAACTGCAGCTTTGACAAACTTCTCTTTGCCTTGAATTCTGCAAGCTGCATAATGGTATTTATTTTATTTATTTATTTAGGAATGCTGCAGGCCAATTGTGGCCCAAGCAGGATTGGGAGTTACAAAAGTGGAGTCAAAAAAGCGCAACACCAGGTAATCCGTAAAATGGGAGAGGGGAACAGGGGAAAATTATGCAAAAATTGTAATAAAGCACAAAAACAAATGCATAAAAAAATGTAATAGCTCACAACAAAGTTGGGAGGGGTGGCGGTAGTGGGGAACAGGAAAATAAAACACAATGCAAAGAGTTACACATCAAACAAACACTCAATCGACTCCAAAACATTGTCAGATATAAATATTTGATGAGGTAGGTTGTTCCATCCTGTTATGGTTCTGGGCAAGGAGTATTTAAATGCATCTGTTCGAGTGAGTACTGGAGTTATTTTATGCGGATGGTCATGCCTTGTGCACCTAGTCGAGGATGGGTGAAGAAAGGACGACGATTTAAGCCGGAGTTTTTTTAAACCAGAGTTGATAAAGAAATTTTAGTCTAGCTAGCTTTCTTCGTGATTCAAGAGAGATGATGTTGTTATTTTGAATTAAGGCAGCCGGTGAGTCATGCAGGTGGTAGCGATTAAATATAAAACGAGCTGCTTGCTTTTGAACATCTTTCAGTATCTTGATATCTTTTTTTGTGAATGGATCCCAGACTGTACAGGCGTATTCTAACTTCGTTCTTATCAATGTGTTATAGGCTAAAAGTTTCACATGAGAAGGCACGTGCTTAAGCTTGTGCCTTATCATACCTAGTTTTCGACGGGCAGCTGCACAAACGTGTTCAATGTGTGAGGACCAAGATAAGTTGCTAGAAATTGTTATACCAAGATATTTAAAGCTCATCGTCCGAGAGATGTAGTTATCACCAATAAAGTATTCATACTGATGAGAGGACTTTTTGTTAGGGATGCGCATGTACAAGGACTTTTCTTGGTTAAGCTTCACCTCCCAACGATTGCACCAGCTAGAAACTGCATTAAGACTTTCGTTCAGAACAACTTGGTCCCTAGTAGAGTTAATATCCTTGAACAATAGACAGTCGTCCGCAAATAAACGAATACTCACGCTTTTACTCATACAAAAAGTGAGGTCATTAATAAAAATTGAAAAAAGAAGAGGGCCAAGGACACTCCCTTGCGGAACACCTGAAATTACAGGAAGAGGATCAGAATGGTGACCGTCTACATCGACGAATTGTTTTCGCATTTGAAGATAAGCTGAAATCCATTGAACAACTGTGCTGGGAAGGCCAATCTCATTTAGTTTGTATATAAGACCGAAATGAGGAACTCTGTCGAAGGCTTTGCTAAAATCAAGGAAGATGAAGTCGACTTGACCAGGCCTATCTACTATAGAAGCAAAAGAATGAATAGTTGAAATGAGCTGAGTAGTAGTAGAAAGTCCCTTTCGGAACCCATGCTGAAAAGGCGAGATTATTTCATGTTTATGTAATAATAATAATAATAATAAAAAAGAAACAATGTGAAGAATGTTTATGGTTAGTGAGTCCGACATTTACAGCTTATGCTGAACTTTCTTAGCCAGTTGTATTTTTTCACTGCAGGAACCCTGCTTGAACTGCGTATTTGATCTCAGTCTCATGCTGCCAGACGAGATAAGATGTCAGTTTGAGAATGTGAAATTATCTAATTCAAAGCCAATTAGAAATGATCTAATTGGATGTAAGTTTTCTAAATTTTTAACAAAAAAAAAGCAGCCGACAAAGCCCGCATAGACTCGTCAGCAATATTTGAAAGTCGCTTCACCTCTGCGACACCCGAAAATCATCTCCATCTTTCGAATCGAGTGATGGGACATTCTGGAACGTTGGCTCTTTTACCAGAAGTCCCAAGCTCGTTGGAGTGTGGGGGCCAGATAGACTACCCCCAAAATCTTCAGGGCCAACATAGAACGGCGGCAGAAGTAAATTATTTCTATAAGAAAAAAAAAAAAAAAAGAAAAGAAAGAAAAACGGAAATGGTGTTTTACGTTGCGAAGCACTTGAGTCTCTCGGCAAAACCCAGATTTCCTAAAGAAGCTAGGGATGTCGTGCTATTTGCTTTTTTTATAAAATAGCCGTTTTGCCAGTGTCGTCTTTAGCTTTGATTTATTCATACAACTACTTTGAGTTTGACCCTAGTGTGATTACAAGATTTGAAATACCACCATTCGGCCAATGCGCTGTAATTTTTCTATACAACTAGAAATCAAGCACAGAGTCGTTACTATATCGCTCAATTCACCTGGGAAGTATCCAAGTTTATGTCTTAAAATAATTTTTTTTCGTACGGTAGTTGTTTTTTTTTATGGTTTTTATAAAATTTACAAGCAAATTCTTGTGTCTTAGCGGTGAGTAAGACCAAACAATCCACGATCTTGAAAAAAACAGATCAGTGCGAAATATGTTAAAACTTCATAAGAGCAGAGCTACGTTTCCAGCGGAAATGAATTGACGACAAGAGGTCACTATTTATGGTGCACGCAGTGCTCGAGGCATAGGAATTCGGTAGCCCGCAGCCACGGCAAACTTGGGAGCCGCGTCCCAGAGAGTCATGGGTTGCGTGCGGCCCGCCTTTGTCTTGCACCAACTGCCAGTCCTACATTCGGAGAATGTCTTAGTTCCTGACAACACTTGGTTTATTTTTGCGGTTATGAAAACGTGGTTCGTTGGCTGACACCTGGTACAGACACTCGGTATATCAAAGATGAGGAACTGTGTTAGAAATTCTTTGCAGTATTTGTGTCCTTTCAGTGTCAAAGGAACCTTCCTCACTGTTTTTGGCTCAATCATAGTTGGCGACAGGTACATTCACAGTGTCGTTCGTCAATTTAGGGGGAGGGACATCTACGAGCCACCCAGGTTTATGACGGCTTCCGAAGCTGCAGATCAGCTACTCCAGATCCTCGAAACAAAGAAGGAAGAAGGCATTCCGGAAGGAGAGCTCGGTAAGTCGATGCAGAACCATGGTACTTGAGCGTGTCTCTGACTTGTCCGTTTATTGTGTCCTCAAAAGTGATCCCTCGATTTCGACCCATTGACATTGATTATCAATTTCGGACTGTGCTAGCATTGCTCCTTTTTCGAATTAAGTGCTCACAATGTTCCAAAACTATGTTTTTTTTTTTTTGTTTTATTTTCAGCTTACAGCGAAAACAGCATGTGCATCGGTCTGGCGCGCGTTGGTACAGAGACCCAACAAGTTGTCTGTGCGTCGCTGAGGGACATGTCATCGTGTGACCTTGGTGGCCCTCTCCACAGTCTCATTGTCCCGGGAAAATTGCATCCCATGGAACTTGAAATGCTCAAGCTGTTTGTTGTTGACCAGGCATGGTTTGATGAGGTCTGTAGAAGAAGCACCGAGTAGGTTAGAAACAGAGACATGGAACAAGAGACTGCCTCTAAGTGTATATACACATATATTTCTCGTGGATTATACTTTGGTGTTGAATAAATGTTCTTTTGTTTGTTTGACGTGATGGTAAGGCAGAACTTACCGTTGTTTGTGTTGTGCCGCTTATTACAAACGGAAACTTTATTAAATGCCTGTTTTTGTAGCGTTCTGTGGAAAGAGAACAGTCTCGACAACTGCAAAGACACGGATGCAAGCAAAAATAAAATAAATACTGGAATAGTTCAAAATCAACCGAATATTTGAAGCAAAAACAAAGCTGCGTCTGCTGTATTGGGGCTTGATGTTTTTTTGTTTTTTTTAACACTTATTTATGAATACAAGTATTGAAACAGAGCAAATGAATGCAAGGTGTGCCACTACTCTCCATTGCCTAAATACGCTCTCGGGCTTTGCACAAATTTCGGAGCTTTTTTGCCATTTTTTATTAACGTCTGAACAATAAATTGGAGAGCAGACGAATGCGGTTCTCCGGGGAGAAGGTTGGCGGTATTGGATCTACCCTTGTCTTCTTTAGTCTTGTTTCGATTTCGAAAGCGCTGGCGCTGGCGGCGCTCTTGCAAATTTCCGGCGGAAATGGCGCAGTTCCCGTCGCTGCGCGTCCCGCGCGGTATCCTACGAGACCTGCGAACGCCGTGTCCGCCATGTTTTTCTGAACACTACTTTTCTCTCCTCCCGGTTCAATGTGGTGTTTTTTTTTCCGGTGTCGTTGCGATTGTACTAACCGAGTCGCGATGTCCTCACGACGAGTTCGGTGATGTGAACCGGCCGAAGCGACGACGACACAATCTCAAGGTGCGTACTCGTACGCGAAGCCATCCTAACCCCCGCGCCGTGCATGCTTCACACAAACACAGCCATGCTGCTTCTGTTGTATTGAGTGCTTGTTCCCCCCAGGGCGGCGTTATTATTGCATCTTTGACAATTTTATGTCGAGACAGCGACGTGGTCGCTAGGTTATCGCAATCCTCGAAGCGGTTAGCAACAGGACGCAACGATGCGCCCGAAATCCCAACGGCGGTGCGTTTGCTAGCTCTGCGTTTAAATATCGCGAGGTTGTATTGTTGTGGTTTTTGCTCGTGTCGCTGAAAACGGGCATTTTTGGACTGGCTTAGCGCCCTGCGCCGGCTTTTCGCTAATTTGCGTTTGCAGCGGCCTTAAAAACGATAAGAAGCATTCTTAAATTAGGTAATGTAAGCCAACTATTGGATGTCATGCGCGGAGCGTCAAAAATATACAAAAACAAAAAAGAGTCGCCTAGCCGAGCGCGCCGCAAAACCGCGGGTCGGCTCGGGCCTTTCGGAAATACGAGACCAGCGGGAGGCTCAGATAAAATAGAAAACTGCGGCGCTGCGGGCACGACCAACGCGAGCTAAAATTTAAGGCCACGGGCCGCTGAGAGAAAAACGAGGCTCGACGTTTATAAAAAGAAAAACTTGGAAAGGCAAACGACCAGCATGATCGTCGCATGTTCGTTTGTTTTGAAAACAATATAGGGCTCGGGGGTTTCCGTACGCGAGAGCACCGACGTCACATGCTGAGACACGCCGATACAAAGAAACCGCGGCGCTAGCTTTTAATTTTTTCTTCTGTAGAAGCGAGCTCGCCTGAGATTATGCCAGTCAACCAAAATAAAACCCGTCGTGTGCCTAGAAAATGCCGTTAACCTACGCGATTTTCGACAATTTCTTTTTATGCCGTTTCTTAACCTTTTTCGCAGATGGTTCCCAGCAACCCCTCTCCCTCTCCTTTTCAGACGAAACATGTGGTGTTGTGTAACTCTCGATTATGCTTGCGTAAACGGCTAGCGAGTGACTTTTTCTCCTTTGTTGACATTATACAAGCAGTGCTTCCGGTTACATCGGCAGCGTAATTCAAGCTAAATTCGCATTCCTGACAAAATAAACCAAAGCAAAAGATTTGGCCAGAAGCACTAATATATTTTTGCGGTTTAAAATCAAACATATCTCTTATTTTAATTGCGTTCGAGTTTAGTTCCCCGTTGTCCCCTGGAGTTATGTTTGTGAGAAATTTCCCATGATTCGGCAACACAGGATGCACCACTTTTAGTGGCCGATGCACTTGCTGTATAGACCCCATAATTTCTTTGGTTAACTTTGATGTATTGTAAGTTTTTCTTGCTTTGATAGGCTTGGATATGGAAGATGGGAACGTTTCTCTGAATGACGGACCTTGGTAGAGCTTGTCTTTCCAAACTTTCTTCTAGGATGATGGGTGGGTGGATGGATATTAACAGCTGCGCCCTTGACAACGGGCGTTAGCTTGTGCCACCTGGGGCGCGGCCACACTGGAGTTCTTAATTTCTAGGCTAGGTGGCGCAAGCTACTGCCCAATATAAAGGGTACAGCCGTAAGCATCCATCCATCCATCAAGTTCTTGTGCTGCTTGATGTAAGCTTGGTTGAACAGAACGGGCCTAGTCCAGCCTTATACATTCTAAGGCTTGTACAACTGACTTTAAGTTCATAGACAAAGCAAGCTCTTGTAATTTCAGTCAAATGTGAAAAGAGGAACAGGCAGGAGGAACAGTGCCCATTATATGGAACGAAACACAAATTTGTTTCGTCATGATTCATCATGGACACAGGCTAAGGAAGTACAAACTGGGTCATAACGCCATCACAAATCATATACAATCCGAATTTGTTGGCATGTTCATGGATAGACCTTTTGTGGAAATCTCCAAGGGCGACACGCAAAGTCCCTACTTGCCCCCACAGCATCTTTCTCAAGACACCGAAGAGAGCAAGAGGGTAGCACAGATGCTTGCTCGATCGCCATTGCCTCTGGTGTCTGCTATAACTGATGGACTCTACTGTTCCCGGCGCTATTTAGGCATTATGGCGACGGTAATAACTTTTGCTTGCATACAAGGTTTTAGTTAATGTCGGAAGGTTGAAAAGTGCTACATTTTAACTCGATTCTAAGTTGTGCCCTTTCTTATTTCTTTTTGTTACAGATTTTGCAGTTGTGAATCGCCCTCGAGAGGACAATGTTACGGCCCTGAGAAGGCGTTTTTGAATGCTGTGAACCTTGCCACGTCGCCAGTTCCGAGATGCGGAGGTAGCAAGAGCTGCGGGAGGGAGCCTTCCAGCCTTGTCGTCTCGAGTAGACGAGGGTCCCAGGAGTGTGTTGGAGTCACCCCGTTGTTCGTCTCATCACCTCACACCCGTGCCCCCACCGTCCGATCGCGCCATGTAGGAGTGCCTCTCGTCACGTGACTCGAAGCCGACTTCGCCGTGCCGCGTCGCGTGCAGGGTGGTGCCGCGTTTCTGCGTGTCTGTGTCCGTGACGGAAGTGCCCAGTTCGTGCCCAGAACCGGGGGCAACATGGGAGCCGAGGTGGCGCCGTCGTCGTGACCAAGTTTTTCGACGTGTCGTGCGCTTTCGTCGCGTGCCCGCGAGGCGTCGTCGTCGCTAGCCCTCTTGCTCGTCTGCTTCTGTCGGGAGACAGTCGTCTGCTAAGCTGGGGCAGGGTTTGAACGCCGCAATTCCTGAAGGTGAGGTTTCTTCCCTCTCCCTCCTCGCTTTCCTCTCTCTCCGCCGTTATGGCATCTAGAATGCATCTCCGCCCGTTACGTTTACCACGTCCAAGGGAGTGGTCCCTCGATTTCCTGCCCAATGGCACCGAAGAAGTGTGTCATGCTGTCGTCGTCCGCGGTCCTGGCAGCGTCCCAGCAGCAGTGGTGGATGTGGCAGATGCCTGTTCTCCTACAGGTCGCCCTCCAGTCCGATGTTCCGCGGAAGCTTCGACAGCCGGGAGTCGGGACGCCACGACAGAAAAGACGCTCGTGGTCGCTCATCCTTTTCAGCGGCATTTTTGCGACCAACCGCCGGGATCGCAACGTCTGACAGCACGACTTTCGGGCTTTTGTGAGGTCATTTGTTGCCACTCAGCTAACCACTTATGATGCATGGGTGGGATAGGACGCTAAACAGTTGAAGACGCGCTCCAGGCACCGTACTGCCAACGTCAAGACCAACGTAAAGTTCAACTCCGCTTCATTTTTACAGCGAAACTGTTTTGTGCTAGTATCTGGGAAAAATGTGTGTGCGGATGTTGACACAAAATTTCCCATTGGGCATGGCAAGTATGAATAAATAAAAATAAAAAGGGGAGGGCAACCAGCTTGAGTCAGCCTTCCTTGGCATTATTAGATATTGAGGCCCTGATCCCTTGTTATCATCTCTAGGCATCGTCCTCGAGATCGTCCTAGAAGTGGTCCTTGAGGTCGTTCTCGAGGATGTCCTAGAAGTTATCCTTGAGGTCGTCCTGTAGGCGTTGTCCTCGAGGTCACCCTAGAAGTTGTCCTTGAGGTCGTCGTAGACGTCGTCCTCCAGAAGTCGTCCCTGAGGTCGTCCTAGATGTCATCCTCTAGGCATAGTCTTTGAGGTCATCCTAGACGTCGTCCTCTAGGCATCGCCCTAGACGTTGTAAACATAACTTCACTGGTCCTCCATCTTCACTTAAAATAAAAAATCCCTACAAATTATTATTTTTTTTTTTTTAAACATTGCAGTTTTTTTTGTTATCACCTAGGAAAATTGCACGTCAAATATTACAACCTAGTTCTGTCTAAATGTTTTTAAACAGTATGGCAAACTTTGTAACACGCCAAGTTGCTGAAATCGGCCGACTCGAGCAGGCAAATTGATGCGCAACCAGCAGCACAGTCGTATAGCTGAAAGTCATCACCATATCCTCTGTTGAATTAACCTGAGACTGGGGTAGAGAAGAAACATCAAAACGTAGAAGGGACATAAAGTAGACAGGAAGACGTCTCTTTTTGAGACGTCGTCCTGTCTATTTTTTGTCCCTTCTACGTTTTGATGTTTCTTCTATACGCCAGTCTCAGGTTAATTCAAAATGGGTAATATTCACCAGCTCGCCTGCACCCTTACATTTTTTTCTATACCATTGCCTCTTTTTGTTTGTTTTTACTTCTTTGGGCAAGGGTAATGGGTGACGTCGGTAACGTTTTTTCTCGGCGCTTAGTGGTGTCTTTGTGATTGGCGTAACGCGCCTGTGCAGCATGCTCCTCGGAAGCTGCCGTACCATCCCGCCATTACCGCCGTCTCTCACGTTGCAATCGCCGTCGTCGTATCACCGTTCGTGATTTTCGTCTCTCGGGGTTTGGTTCACTTAATGTGCACAGACTGATGCTGCAGTTGTGCAGACGTCGCCAAATGTCGTAGATACCGGAACGTGGTGTGTGCGGTGCAGACGGCATTTGTGCCTGGCACACGCCCACCCCAACGGTGGCCACCCGGCCTGCCCCAATCCCGCCCGTCGTCGTGTAGTGGATCACGTGACATCACATCAGCATCGGCGCAGCATCGGCGTTGGGCCGCTTATGGCGGCCCGACGCCGATGCTGCCGGATGGACCCAAAGTTTCGGTTTCGATTTCTGCTAATGTTTAAAGTTAGATTTAACAAAATATATCCCACTTTTCGTGAAGGAAATGACGTGGTACCTTTTGTAGTCCTTTTTAATATGAAATCACTCATTATCTCGAAAATTTCAGAAATTGAGCAGAGTTGCCCTTTAAGGTGCAACACTGCTTCTATAGCTTCTGCATATAACTTGTGATTCAATTCAAATGAAATTTACGTTACTTACCTGCCGTTACAATCTGACTACAAATATGTATTTTGTTGTGATGTAACCTAACTGCACCTAACTAGTTTTTGTTAATATTGAATATTCTAATTATTAAAGATTAAGAAAAAAAATTATGAAGATTGGATATGTGCAAGTGGACATATGACTTCCATGAAATAGCTAAGTGTGTAAATCATTCACTCGGATATAATAGCAAAAAAAAGTCCACAGACCCAGTTTACTTTGTTTCCAAGACAATAGTTAAAGATAAGAGAGACTTATTTCACGAAAAGTCCTTCAGGACAAGATGATAAGTGCCTACCTCAATATGGCCCTGCGATTGTGTCTCAATGAGGTTGAAGCAGACGTACATAAGACAGTTCCAGGAACCCCTCTTTTCCTGACGTCAAGTGAACCCGACTTACGACGGACTTGCGCTCATGACTCACCAAGGCTGGACAAACGGCTGCGACGCAGTTTCACGAACTCCTCTTTTCGGTTTCGGCAGTAGTATATGCAGAAATCTACTGACAGGGTTAGAATGGCATGGCGTTTGCTTCTAATGCTCGTCCTCCAGCACACGCTCGTTGCCTTCCACCATGCCACCATGCTTTGGCTGTGCGTTCACGCTCGAGGATCACGAGACACCGAAGCATTGTTGAAGGAGGGAGTCTTGCGCTGGAGGTGGGACAGCTGAAACTCTTCCCCTGCTGTCTCTCCCTGTCGGCGATGATACTAAACTTCCTCCATCTTCTCTACTGTATCACATTTAACCTATAAGTTATTAGTATCGCTTTTGGTGTTTGTACCTTCATGAGCTGTTTTGGGTTGCTCCGCTGCTTGTGAACTCGAGAAGGGAAGGTGTGAACTCAGGGACAGTTCTCTGTGGCCATACAGTCAATACAAGTGTGAGCATGAGGCATTAGCAGTGCCCCCTGTTGAAATCTCCGCAAACTTGGGGCGCAAGGGGGGGCCGAAACAAGTAGACTCCTGTTCTCGTTGTGCTTCCCTTTGCTCCTGGGTCGTCTGCTTGCATCAATTCAGTTAAGTTCAATATCAGTTTTCCAACACAGTGTTGGAAAAATACCGTGGCCTCTGCAAGTTGTACGCACATAATTTGGCACACATGATAATATCTCGGAGCGGTACAGAACTTGCTGCGAGAAAGATTGCGATTGATATAGGTTGTGTCACGTTCCTTTTATGTTCCAGGGAGAGAAAGATCGCCTATGCTTCTACCGTGCTAACTTCTTGCATGTGCAGATTTGCAGTCCTTTGCTCCGACAAAAATCATGCTAAGTAAATAATAGGCAGTTTTTGTAGGTTGTTCCAATACCTCCGATGACAATATGATGCACGCACAAAGGCATCGGCGGAGTATCAGGTATTGATCCGAGCCATAGGAAAAATATACTGAAACTTCTAAACAAATTAAAGTTACCTTACAAAAATATTTATACTATACCGTAAAATCCCGAGAGGTGCCCCACTCCCGAAAGGTAACCCACACCTATTTTTTGCTTGACTTGCTATTTTATTTTTAAACACCGAAAGATGGCCCACTTTTAGTAATCGGAGTGTTCAGATCAGTGATGGCCTTGGCGTAAATGCATCCAGTTAGCCATGGTTGGATATAAGCATGCATTGCTGACTTGAAAGTAAAGTTATCTTTGCTTCATTGCCCCTCACAACGATAATATGTTTGACAGAGAGACATAGTCTAAAAATACAATATTTTCAACTTTTCTTGATTGCACACTGAAAGTTAGCCCACTCCTTATTTTCGCCCAATTTTCTCTCGATTTTAGGTGGGCTATCTTTCGGGATATTAAGGTAAGCTATTTTTTCTAGTGCACATTGCTAGCGGAAGGCGCTCTTAGTCATTGGTTAACAGTTTTGCGGTTCTGTTGACCGTTCTTTGCTAGCAGACGATTTTGAAGTCTGGGGTGGTGCGACCAGGCATGTAGCCAGGGGGGGAGGCCCATGGGGCCTGGACCCCCCCGAAATCTTCCATTTTGATGGGACCTCCTATCCCCCCTCCCCGTCATACAGCATTTTGTCATGGGCGGGCCCCCCCCCCCCCCCGAAACAAAATCCTGGCTACGTGCCTGGGTGCGACGATCGCGGGAGGAGATATGTCATGTCTGCAAAGTGCCTCTTTGCAGAGCAATCGACAGGGGGCACTGGTAGTACTGCGGGCCACGTGGAGCGGTGTTCACTCTCATATTAGTAGCGATGGTACGGCAGTGCATCGTTTGAGTGCCAATGAAAGCTGCCCTCTCACACCACTACTACTTGGCAAAAATGCTACAGAATCCCGAGTGGTAATGTGCCTCTTTTGGGCAAGGCCCTTTGTACTTGAACATTCCTCCATTAAGATTGTCCTGGTGTTTTTGTCTTGGCCATTTTAGTGGCCGGCCAGGTAATTGTGCAAGCGCCACTTCACCTTAGTTCTTAATAACTGCCACTATGCAGAAGGTTCAAATACCAGCTGCTGCTTCTTTCTGTCGCTGAGTGTTCCTTAATGCACAGGCGAGATAACGGGGCAGTTTATTGTATAAAGATTTTGCTCAATTGTGGAACTTTACGATACATTACGAAAGCGATGGTTCACCAGCACAAACTTCCTTTCTTAAAGGGGCACTGACACGCAAAAGGTCATATTTTTTTTATTGTCTAAAACGATGCAAGTTGCAGTCATAGACATGCAAAAAAAACCGCATCGCGAAAAAATATTTCCAGCGCGCACGCGCGCCTTTTTATTTTTGGCGTTTGATTCTCCCGCCTCTCGCCTCCTCGCTTCTTTTGATTTGTGACATCAAGAATCATGAAATTTAGAAGCTTTGTAGACGACATCTCTATAACATTTAATAACAGCGATCCTAAAACATGTTTTTAACGCAATTGCGAACGGACTACGGCCCTTCTTTTTGAAATACCAAAAATCGGGAGTTCGTTGTGGTGCCGTCTCCTGGATTTGTATCCTCCCACGGAAAACAGGCGACACCGCTCAAAACCGGTCCACCGGCGCTCGCGCCTTTCCTCCTCGTTTTGGGTCACCATGGCAACGGCAGGGAGTCGTGAAAGCAAGTGGACTCTCAGGACTCCGCAATATTTGACGTCAACGCACCGGCGCGGATAGCGCGGGAATTTCGAGTTCGGCATTTGGAAATTGTTTTTTTACTTCAAAAATACTGAATTCCCAAATTTCAAATTTTGAGGGTCATGTCCCTGCATCGTTTTCAATCGTTTCAGATAATAAAAAAAAAAAAAAAATGATTTTGATGTGTCAGAGCCCCTTTAAGTGAAACCTTCTTAAATATCAGCACGACTTTAGTTACCACTAGTTCATTTTATAACGAAATTTTTACTTGCTCTATAACTTATACCTGTTTATTTTATAACTGAGCAACTGTAACTTTAGCTATGCAGGGTGACCAATTTATTGCGCAACTGTAGAGTCTGTTTCATAATTCTAAGGGTTGTAATTTTCCAGGGGTGATTATATGGCGGGCATGTGCTTTGATTTCAGTGTGTGAAATTACGTGGGTCCGGGAAAATAATAAAATTCTTTTTTTTTTCTGTGGCCGGATTTCCCTGCTGTGTAAGCTTTTTGCAAACTAAAACAAATTGGCATTTTTTGCTGCATATTTTGACAAAACTGTGAAAGAGCGGGTTCGGCTTGCTTCGCTGTCATTCTTTCAAAAATTGCCTACTCCTTTGAAGGTTTCTACTCTCAGCTCCAGTTACTTGCACATGCCGCACTTAATAAACAAGCATAACATACGTTGGTGTCTCATCGCACCATCGTGAGAAATTGGAGCACTCCTAGGGGAGTAATTGATTATTGTAGTCTGACAAATTGTTTGTACACTAAAATTATTAATTCTCATAGCAGTATATCATCCCATTACCTCCCAGCCTTTCTTAGTGCCTTTTTTCCTAGTTAGAATGTACCCATATGATAAAAATTAGATGGTAGATCACATACTTAACTTTTTAGTTCTTACGAGCTGGGTGCAAGTTTGGGCATGCCAGCAATAGTGGCGTTGCCAAATGCTTGCCGGCAGTCCACCAACGGAGTTTCCACTTTGCACGCAGGCCTGCCATGGTCTCGGATGGAAACACCCACTAATGGCGAACAACAACATCCCGGCCCACGACTTTGCACCCTCCTGGCTCAAGATTCCTAGCTATGACACTGCGGTGAGTGTCGCACTTTGTCGCTTCGGGGGGTGTTTTATAGCAGGGTCCGAACGACGACTCCTTTAGCCCTGGCGTGGCCAGTCGACACCTACGCACACCACATCTTTTAATTTTTTGACCAAGGACATACTTTTAAAACTTGAGAGCACCTTCTACAGTCGGCGACAGGTTAAGAGCGAAGTTGATGCATCTCCCGCCTCTTTGCACTTCAACAGAGCAAATTCTGGATGGAAGGTCACCTCTCCAGCATTCTGTGTTTGCATTTTTATTGTAGAATTGCATTCTTACTGGAGCTAACTTAGATTTAGCCTTAAAAAGGAAAGCCATTGCGAGCCAGGCTCGAATGGAGTTGGCCTGCTGCCAAACACCTACAAAACAATCGCCCCCCTCCCGCTGCTGCAGTGCACTTGTAAAAAAAAAGAAAAGAAAAAAAAAAAAAAAAAACTGAGGAAGCAGGAGGTAGAAGAAAAAAAGAAAAAGAAAGGAAATGGTGCAAGAAGAGGCTGAAGCGACAGTCACGTGCCTTGAAGACTGAGACCCGTGTTTGCATCTGCACCGCGTTCCTCATAGAACACGGTTCTCCATACGTCGGTTTGATCAACTTTGATCAACAAACAAAAATACAACCTCAAACTTTTTTTTTTTTTTTCCAGAAGAACCCTCAGCATTCGGACAGCCTTCATGGTAATCAAAGAGAGGAGCACCGTTCATCATTCCATCGTCGTGTGGGAGGTGCCACCAGGCCCGTCTTCCGGGAAAGAGACGGTGAGCCGACGCCCTTTGTCTTGCCACAAGTTGGAGCGTAGTTGAAATCTAAGGTCACCGAGAGCTTAAAAAAAAAAACAAGGCAGGGCGCGGATCCTTTTGTTCACGTTTCTCGGTCCGTGACTCATACTGTTCTGATCGGCTTACGTTTCAATCTGATTAGCTGTAGAGCAGTAGAGAGTTGCTCCTCGTCATTCGCCATGCCCTGCTATCCTTAGGCTCTCAGTGACTGTGAGGAACGCAAGTTTGTCTGCTTCTTGCGCAGGGGTTGCGACAACGTCGGGACGCCAAGCTCTTATTGGCCAATTATAAAAAAATGGTGGGTAGACCTCAAGGCATCTAGCATTGAGGTCTACCCACTGTCCCTTCGATCAAAGCCAACTGGAGCGTGAGGGCATTCCGTCATCTCCGCAACTCCCACGCGAGAGCAAACGGCTCGCTCTTTGCTCGAGTGACAGCGCAAGTATGTCCACGCGGGCCAAAGGTGCAAAGCCGGAGAACACCGCTTACATTCGGTCGGACAAGCCAGCGACGACGACGCATGCGTAGAAGCACGACGGAAGCCGCACTGTTTGACTTGTCCCACTTCGCTTGTTGCTTTGTGGCGAAACGAAGCGTTTTGCTTTCCACTTCTTAGCTCGTGTCCCTCTATTCCCGACCACTCCGCTTTGTTTAGAGTTTTTTTGTGGGTAGTTCAAAGTTTTTCTGGAAGCTGCATCGAAGCGATTGTTCGAATTCATTTTGTGGCTGGAGGCGTGTCGTAGAGGCAATCTCGGCGGTGCTGACAGAGAATTGGAAATGCGGCGCCGTTTCCAAATGTGGCTGGAGGTGTTTGGAAAACGCTTGCTCTTTGTTTCTCCATTTTTTTGTTTATTGTCGTTTTGGGGCTAAGTTTTAATCTGGTTCTCACTGCCACTGTTACGGAAAAACTCGACAAATACTGTTGACAACTTTATTTTTGCGTGCACATTGTTTTGAAAAATTTGCAAAGGGCAAGTTTTGGGAAGACTTTGTTAGCATGAAAATTTGTGATTGGGATTGGTGTGCTAAGTACTGATAGTCATAGGGTTACATATCAAAACGATAAATTTTTTGCGATTTTGTTTGATTTGTAAATTTCCAATGATGGAAGTGCTGTGCAATTCGCGCCAAACTGCGCCGTGAGCGTGAATTTGCTACGTATTGCGCCAAATAGTTTGTTTAGCGAAGAATTGCGCTAAACCTGTGCCAAAACGATCTTTACAAAAAAAAAAAAAAATCCTGGCTCATTTTTTTTTTTTTGTTTTATTGTTGTACATTTGTACGGTGGATGCTTGCTTCATGTGCTGCATTGTCGCATGTCGAAGAAGAAGCAGACGGAATGGCGGAGATGCTAGGAGACGACCAACGTGTTCGTCACTTCCTCGCATTGCAAACGCGGCCTATAAACCGCGTCACCCCCATCACGCAGTTGGGTCATTCCATGCCAAAGGAGACGGCGATTTTCGTCATATTTTGGATATGCTTGAAAAAAATAATATGAATAAAGACACATTTGAAAGTAAGGATGGCTAAGTTTGAGGACTGAATTATGTTTATTTTTGCTGACGTCATGCTCCAAAGTGCAGGGAATTTGAGAAAACCTCCTGTATTTCAAAAAATTGCTGAAAAAGAGATATTCTTACCACATAATTTTACGTTTGCATGCAATTGAGCATAAATATATTCTATCTTACCTTGAAAGGAAAACACCTTACGCCGCCATTTTGGGTCCAGACAGGCACTCCAAACCGATGCAAATTTTTAAGATTTCTTGATGTTTTTTTAGTCAACTTGAAATTAAAATTTGACTAAGAAACTTTTTTTACTTATTTTTATAAACCTTATACTCGACTAGGTTGCATTACAATAGCAAAAAATTATTCGGACAGTTTTTAATGAAATGGTGAATATGATGCTTTCTTCAAAAACTGCCCTATAGAGGGTAAAAAAAAGCCATGTGGGCAACGGTGCTCGCATTTTCTGAAATAGCCAAAAGTTTAACCGACCCTATCTGTTCAACATATCAAAAAATTGGAAAAGTACTTTTTGTTATTTTGGAGAAATTACTTTTTAAATATGAGGCAGAACGGCATCACCTCCAGGCGTCCACCTCGTCGAAAACGCACGCCGTCGTCTGCTACGGTCGAGCGAAACACTGCACGGGTAACCTAATTTCGTTAATTATATTTGTATAGCTAAAGCTGAGGATCTTGACATTATGACATGTCTATTTATAGTGACTAGAGAGTGCATATTTTTTTTTTGCTCTAAACAATATGTCCGGGTGCGCTTGCAAGTTGGAATAGCGACAACTCGAAATATTGTTTGGGATACTTTTTATCAAAGCCGAAACAAAGCACACTTGCAGCTCACCAACGTTTTTGTTTCTTATGTAGATAAATATAAAATATAGTCAAGAAATACTATATCACATTTAGAATGTCAGTGTTTCATTAGCTTTCAGTTCATGTCATAGGCTAAAACACTGCGCACGTCTGGAACATCACCAGTGTGATCCGTCTGCTGCGATGTCTTAAATTTGCATGGAAAACTCTTCCTGCACGATGGACGTGGGTGTTATTTTAGCCACCACGTAATATTATTCTTTTGGCACGCTAATTTGAAGGCTTTAATTCCACTTTACATGTGCTCAGGTGACGGGAGACAAAGCCGTCGTCTGCTAACCGAGTTTGTGCATGCAGACGGTTCGTGAGAATTGGTTAGCAGGGTGAGTCTTCGCTTTTTGGTCATACTCCGTTTGCTTGTAAAAAATTAAATAGAGAACGCTGGAGATCGTCAACGATGCCGAGCGACAACGGTGATTTTCCTCTTTTTCAACGAAAAGGTATTGGGGTGAAAATACATAGTGCAACTGAAAAACAGAGAGTGAAACATTAAAAAATGTAGAACATTAAGATTGGATATTCAGGCCAACGGCCATTCGAAGGTTATAACAGAACAAAAGCATGTTGCGTGTTTACCACTTGTAAAATATATGTCTCCCCTATATGAAAAAAAGTTCTGTGTTGTGCTCCTATCAAAAACCCCTTAATATGAGTATTCGCTTGCCCTTTCTGGTATATTGATATCTTATCTGAGTGACATCTGTATATAGTATTTCTGGACTATATATCACATTCATGTACATAAGAAAAAAAGAAATTTCGATGAACTACAAATGTGCTTTGTTTCAGCTTTAATAAAAAGTATCCCAAACAATATTTCGAGTTGTCGCTATTCAACTTGCAAGCGCACCCAAACATATTGTTTAGACCAAAAAAAAATGATTTCCTTTCCAATCACTATAAATAGACATGTCATAATGTCAAGATTCTTAGCGTTAGCTATACAAATATAGTTAACGAAATTAGGTTCCCCGTGCAGTGTTTCGCTCGACCGTACCAGACGACGGCGTGCGTTGCCGACGAGGTGGACACCTGGAGGCGATGTTGTTCTGCCCCATATTTAAAAAATAATTTCTCCAAAATATCAAAAAGTATTTTTCTAATTTTTTTATACGTTGAACAGAGGGGGTTGGTTAACTTTTGGCTATTTCAGAAAATGTGAGCACCGTTGCCCACATGGCTTTTTCTTACCTTCTATATGACCGTTTTTGAAGAAAGTGACATATTCACCATTTATTTAAAAACTCCGAATAATTTTTGATTATTGTAATGCAACCTAGTCGAGCATAAGGTTCAGAAAAATAAGTTCAAAAAGTTTCTTAGTCAAACTTTAATTTTAAGTTGACTAAAAAAAATCAAGAAATCTTAAAAATTTGTTTCGGTTTGGAGTGCCTGTCTGGACCCAAAATGGCGGCAAAAGGTGTTTTCCTTTCAAGGTAAGGTAGAATATATTAGTGATCGATTGCATGAAAGCTTAAAATTACGTGGTAAGAATAGCTTTTTTTCAGCAATTTTTCGAAATACAGAAGGTTTTCTCCAATTCCCCGCACTTTGGAGCATGACGTCAGCAAAAATAAACGTAATTCAGCCCTCAAACTTAACCACCCCTACTTTCAAACGTGTCTTTATTCATATTATTTTTTTCAAGCATATCCAAAATATGACGAAAATTGCCGTCTCCTTTGGCATGGAATGACCCAGTTGGAAATTCTCGGATAGGGTCTCTAAGCGACCGCAGAGCCGTTATATAGAGAGAGTTTGGCCATTTGCTTGGGAAGTATAGGAGGCAACTGAGGGGGCACCATTGGCCAAAAGCAGGCTGGGCGTGTTCCAAGGCGTCATGAAAAGTTTGAATGTGCAACGAAGCCGTGAGTAAATACCTTGGCAGTCGTCGCAAGGGACAAAATAAGTGTGCAGGAGTAACTCTCTGTGACTGAAAATATGGTGCATGTGATGTTTAGATTACGGTCATGCAAAGTCATGGTAGAAGATGTGTAAAGATGTAGAAGATATAAAAAAATGAAAGACAATTACAATTCTCTGTAATGTCAAATTAGAGTGCAGCTCTTGAGGAGGAGGGGAGGGTACCAAGGGGAAAGTATGTCCCTGCTCCCCTTCAGTACCCTCTCCTCTCATTTAGCCGAAAATTTTCGCTAAATTTCCCGCTAAATTAAGCGAAATTGTCTCCGCTAAATTTAACGGGGAAACTGAATTGGTGTTGAGGTCACATGATGTCAATTTCTCCGCTAAATTTTGCTAAAATTTTCTGCTAAATTTAGTGTAACGTCACGTGACGTCACATTTCCCATAATGACATTACGTGTGACGTCACGAGGGTAAAATTTCTCCCACAAAATGTATTTATTTATTTATTTATTTCAGTACCTTCAAGGCCCAGGGGGCGTTACAGAAGGGAGTGGTGGAAAACATAAAAACAAACAACAGGTAGTAAATACAGAAATTGAAACAGAGAATGAAAAATGTAGTTAACGCCGGTTATTAAGAAAGTACATAACACTCAATGGCGGATCTGAAAGTGAAATCGTCGGTAGTCGTTGCGATGGAGGCGGGCAG